TGTGTGTGTGTGTGTGTGTGTGTCTGTGTCTGTTTGCAGATCTCACTTAAATAAGAGGGCTAAACATGCAAGTCGAGAAAGGCAGTCTTAAAAGTGTGTGATGTTTTTGGTGAGTTGTCTTCGACTAGATTTCACACAGTATTCCCTTTTACAGTGTGTTTTGTTGGTGGGAAGGACATAACTGGGCGTTCTCGAGAGCTTTCTTGACCTAATTGTTCACGCATAAACCACTTTCTAATAGTACAGTTTTGCATGTAAGGTGTTTTTGAGAGGAATTATTCTGTTACATAATCTTGCGTTAATTGTAGGTCTGTAGTCAAAGCTCATCTTGTATTGAAAAAATAGCGTATTGGACTAGTTGGATAAAGAAGGTTCCTGTTACTTGTCCTGCTATGAATCTTTTTCATGGCTTTCTTTGGCTTAAATTCTGTCTGTCCTCCTTTGCAGTAGTTCTAGCTTTCAACCCCCTTTTTTTATGCTGTTTTCTCGCAGCTTTTGAGTGTTAAATAGTTCTCAATTTATTGGTGAGTAAATTATTAATGAACCTCTGGGGCCCTTTATCATTAGTTTGAGATTTTAAAAGGCTAGTGATTTGGCCATGTTTGTCTTGTCCAATAAAGTCTTTTTAAAACAAATTGTTTTAACAAGTAGAAACTTTTGTCCTTAGGTTGTAGGCATTGTCAAGCAAACTCTTCTAAAGCTTTTCAAACCATGCTTTGTGTTTTGTTTTTTCAGTTCTGTTGAGTTCTCTGAGTTTCAGAAATTTGCGATGTTGCAATATTGCTGTGATATGTAGACAAGGTCGCCCAGCATTCTTGTTCTTGCTACTTAGTAGATTAGCAGACTACCATTTTTTATTTTTTAATATTTTCATCCTCTTTGAATTGGTCAGCACCCCCAGAAGAAGAGAAAAAAAGCACCATATTTGTTAATATTGTTAGGGCCAGCAAAAGTTTGGTAAGAAGAAGGGTAGAAAAAAAATATAAGGGGGGAGGGAATAAATTTGGAGTTTATCTGAAATTGGATTATCAATACCTTTGTATATTGAAGCAGAAAGATATGTCTGATTTCAGTTTTAAATGGTATAGTTTCATAGCAATCTTTATTCAAAAACTGAACCCACTGCCATGGAGTTGATTCTGATTCTTAGTAAACCTATAGAGTACACTAGAACTCAGTAGTAGTTTTTAGACTAAATGTTTACAAGAGGCCAACTATCATCTCTTTCTAATGTGGAATGGGTGGGTTCCAGTTACTGATCAAATATTTGTTTAGCAGTTCGGCTACTTTAGCTACTGTGCTGCTGGGACTCCTTTGATCATCTGGAGCCTCTTAATTATTATAAATATCTGAGTAGAAAGGGGCACAAACTATTACTAAGACCTCATTGCTATTATCAGATAACACACTTTTAGTGTATCTTATTTTAATGGGATTTAGTTAAGATGTAAGGAAATGACCTCCAATTATGTTTATTGATTTTTACTATACAGTCCTTGGGGAGCTCAGTACCATGAACTCTGAAGTTCTTCAGTTTTTCAGTAGATGCAGATGAAGAAAGGGAAATAACACCATAACTTCAGCCTTTCCTTTCAAAATGGCACAAAGGATTTATTTTTGTCAATACGTCTATAAAATCAACATAAATATTACTCATGTCCAAGATTGAATCAGTAAATAATCTAAATGATAGTCTTCAGAGACTTGCCTAGTCTTTCCCTCTAGATTCCCTAATTTAGATAGTCCCTTCCCTTTTTACACTTTACTTGGGCAGGCAGGAGGCCTGACCTGAATCAGCACCACAACCATGGAAATAAAAATAGGGCACTCTTAGAGGATCTACTAAAGCACCATGTCTCCACTTTTTTCACTGTTTATTGCTGTACCATGTAGATATGTATTACGTACATTTTTATATTTTTCTGTGATTTTAGTGAAAGCTTACCATTTTTTTTATTCAGTTATTCATACACATTGCATAACACTAATTGCAACACCCACAATGTCTGGTTATATATGTAATTGTTATAAGTATTTAAAAATTCCTTAATTTGCTTTTCGTGTATAGCATGGTTTTGTAGATTATTGGTTTGTAATCTTTGGAAGTTGCTCTGAGTTTTACGTATGAGTAACAAGTTCAGACCCTAGTGTTAACTTTTGGTGAAGAGAAAAAGCAAGAGAGAGGCACCATTGTTTTTGATGGAATACAAACTTTGTATATGTACCACCTGTTGGTGGGTAAAAAGGCTTTAAGTTCTACTTTACTTTGCTAACTACAGGAAACTCCTGTTATATAACAATATTTTACTACAACTAATAATACCTTGATACTTAACAGTGTCTAACATGATTCATAATATGTCTAATGTAGTTTCTGTTAAAAAAGTTGTTTAATGTAGCTCGTTGAGTTGGTAATTGAATTGGTATGGTAGTTATTTTTACATGTGGATAGTCTTTCTAGTGCCAAAAGCTTAGAATGTACAAGGATGCTTTTTAGTAGTGTCCCAAGACAGCAGTGAAGGTACTCTTCAATTAAATTGAAAAGCAGCTAATTTACTGAAAGCATCCATCTTACTTACATCTGCCAGTGCATCTTCAGTATATCTCACTGTATTTGTACTTAGTGACTGTCCAGATAGTTGAGCCTTTCTTTCTGTGAATATAAATAAATAAACCTTGACTGTTACCCTGCAAGAGATGTAAAATGTTCAGCTGGAGGTTTTCTTTTTCCGAGTTCTCTGCTTATTCTGACCATGAGGGAGAATCATTCTTAATGCTACTTTTGATGCAAATTCTCAATAAAGTTTGATAGTAGTTTTAAATATGGCTAAGTTGTGTCAAGTTTTTTATTTTTTTAACCTTGACCCAGTAAGTTGCCAAGAACACCTTCATTTGAGACACCTAGTAATAGAAAAGAATTTTAATCTCTTATTTTAAGCATGGGAAAATACTGGGGACTAGCCAGAGGGTTCCTAAGCATTTAATAACAAATACTACTTCAAATCAAACTTAAGAATTTCAGAAAGAAAAAAAAAGAATTTCAGTAAAAGACAGATTGCCAATAGATTATCTGTTTGTTGAACAGTTGTTTAGCAAAAGAACACAGCAGCTGTAACATGAGAGAATCTGGCTCATACTTTGTGGGGTGACTTCTTTTGCATGATGCTTTAATATTTGAGCATAAAAGGAAATCTCAAGGATCTTTAGATGGCAGTACTCAGATGCCTGTGTGAGGTCTGTTTGCTGCTCCTTGGTTCATTCATAGATTTTTGTAATTTAGTAATTAAGGATTTAAGAATTTGTTTTCTGACCTGATAGACAACAGTTTCTGTATATATGGTCCCTGCAGACCTTTGAAATTAGTTCTACATGCTTACAGCTGTAGAAGATTCATTTTGAAGGTCTCTTTTTAAAAAATTATGTTTATGCTGTCAGTTTGATCCCAGTTCTTATTGACCTTATTTGACAGGGTAGAACTGCTCCCTAGATTTCCTAGGCTATGATATTTATAGAAGGGAGCTCTGGTGGCCTAATGTGAGAAGCTGTACTGCAATCCCAAAGGCACACTGTTTGAATCCACCAGCTTTCCTCTGGAAAAGGGTGGATAATCAATCTCCTCTCATGCAGTTGACTGCCTCTGAAGGAGAGTCAGCTCTGACAGTTCTGACTTGATGGCACTCAACAACAATATTAGAAGGGAGCTCTGGAGGTTTCATTGCTTACTCAGTGTTAGTTTGAGTTTACCAGCTGGTCTGAGGGGGAAAGATGGACATTCTTGTCTCGTGTGATTAATAGCCTCTTAAAATGCATTGGAGGGTCAGCCAGGACTTGGTGTTCTGACTTATGGCACGTATAATAAGAGCCACAATGTTTAATAGAAGCAGGTTGCCATACGTTTCTCCTGTAGGTTTGAACTGCCACCTTTCTTTTAGACTGATGGCTTAACCACTGTGCCACTAGGTCTCCATTGTAACAATCATAACTTCAGATTAAGCTCTGCGTAGCAGAAGTTCTGTTAGCTCTTCATTGTAAAGTGAATTAAGAGTTTTGTCCAGGAGAGGAAGGTGTCTCATGCTTACAAAAATTATTCAAAGGAGCTGTTTTAGTGACCTGAAGGAAAAAATTATAAGATCTTTAAGCCATAACATTTAGTTTAAGAAATGCTTACTAATAATAACTGCTCTCAATTCCAGCTGCTGGTGGTGGTGGTGGTGGTGTTAGGTGATCCTGTTGAACACAGACCTGTATCCTGTGCCTCCTTATCATCTCTGACAACAAACTTGAGTCCATTACTGCAGTCACTGAATCAGTCTACCTAGTTGAGGGTCTTCCTCTCTTTTGTTGACCCTCCATCTTTCCAAGCATGATACCCCTTTCCAAAGAATACTGACTCTTAGCAACATGTCCAAAGTATGAGAAATGAAGGCTCACTATCCTTGCCTTCAAGGAACAGTCTGGTTGCACTTTTTCTATTCATGTTGTATTATTGTTGTATACTATAGAGTCAGAACCGAGCCATAGCTTACTTACCCTCCAGTGAGTTTTCAGAGGCAGTTAATAGTGTGAAAGGAGATTGCCTAGTAACCCCTTAATCAGGTTTCTGAGGCTCTAAGTTTTATCTAGAGGAGACCGCCTGTCTTTCTCCCTTGGAGGTGCTGGTGGTTTCAGATTGCAGGAGACCTGCAAACCGTGGTCAGCAGCACAACGTGCCACCTAATTATACCTTCAGAGCTCTCCGAGAAGTGCTGTTTGGATATGCCATGTAGAGGTGGAAATGAAGTACAAATTATAGAAAAGGTAGGAAACTTAACTCTTTAGGATGTCAGGTTTGAAAGAAAGCAACAGCTATATACCAAATCTACTTCCAAATATGTTTAACTGTAAGCTCTGGTGACGGAGTGGCAAGAAGTGATGCTACTGTCCCAATAATATTTAATTATGTGCTGCTTTTCCTTTTTAGGTTTTGCACTCTCAGTCTCGCCATGTTGAAGTTAGAATGGCCTGCATTCGCTATCTTCGAGAGAACAGAGAGAAATTTGAAGAGGTAATTTGTAATTTTAAACATGCTATGGAAGCCTGACCTGCATTTACAATTTGGCTTTAGAAGTAGCTTAGTGGAAATTTCAAAAGCTCAATCTTAAATACGGGGTTTGAAAATAAGCTTTGTAAGATAGAGATGCTTTATTGAACTTAAAGCTAGTTCTATTTGTGACAATTTTTTGGTTATTTTAAAATACTTAAACATTTAGAAAGCTTCTGTGAAAGATAAAATACTGAGAATTCAAAATGCCTCTGAACTTGACTTTGCTGTGTCTGTGTGGATGGGCAGGAATTTGCAATTTGGGTGTATTAGCCTATCCATAAGGGTTTTGGCTAATCTTACCATTAAATTGAGTGGACCTCGCAGCAGAATAGGACATCTTCCTCACCATCAAAGCAGCAGCAAGAGAATGCAACTTATCCTTCAGGACAAGAGCAACAGCCATTTCATCTGAAGCAGAGGACCAGAGAGCCAGACATGCGATGGAGCTCCTTGGGACTGCTATCCCCCTTTCCCCCGCCCCCAACAGCTCTAGACAGAGCTAAGCTAAGAGCCTTTGCCCAAGTTTGTTGGGCAACTAGGAGGGAGGGTAGGAGGGAGGGTGTGTGTGTGTGTGTGTGTGTGTGTGTGTGTGTAGCCAATATTGGCAGGACTGAGAACTTTATAACGCTGGCCAAGCACATTTTGGAAGCTTTCCTGACTGAATTCTGCGATTAACCTGGATTATAACCTTTTAACTTCCCCAATATAATTCTCTGTGGTCTGAGTTATCACATTGTGGTTTGGACCCAGTAAAGCAGTAAGATGGTGTTGAGATGAGTAGGAAGAGGCATGCGAGCAGGGGAGACTAATCATGGGATTTGGTTGTGTGTTGTTTATACTATTGACAGGATCATTTCACATTTTTAAAGTTGATAGAAGTCATATATGGCTGTTGCCAGGTGACCCTTGCTCTCTTTCACTGTTGTTAAGGATGGAAAGATGACTTGAGCCAGGGTCCTTGACATTAAGAGTGGGTTTTGTCTGATGTGGTCAGGGAATTTGACTTTGTGATCAAGAGATTTTGCAGTTGGTAACCCACATGGTAAGGAGTGTGCTGCCAGCTCACAGATATATTGTTCAACTCTACCACCTGTTCTGTGGGAGAAAGAGGTGCAGTCTCCTGTGCAATTGATTGCCTCTGAAAACCTCCTGGAGGGTCAGCTATGAGTTGTTTCAGACTTGATGGCACCTAACAACAACAATAATGAAAAATGTTCACATTTGGAGTATAATAACTGTTAGGTAATACTGGATTTTCAGTTTGATCTGAAGGAATTTGTTTATAGATTTGTTAGAAAGACTTCACAGTTAATTGTGAAATCATGTATCAGGATGTTATAATTATACACATATTAATTGTTAATAGCATGTTATATAACAAGTATGTAGCAGGCTGTTAAATAAGATCCCATAGTGATCTGTTTTTCGTTTTACTTTGGATATATTCTCTGATTTTCATCTGGTTGGAACCAACTCAAAACTGACCCTTGTGTTTTTGTGTTTCTGAGGCTGTCAATTGCATGGGAGGTGATTGCCCATCTTTATTTTGTGTAACCACTGTGGATTCAAGCCTTGGGGGTGGTGGTCTTTAGATTAGCAGTGCAACTCACTATGGATTAGGCCACGAGAGCTCTTTATAATGTAAATGTGGTGATGGTGTTAGGTGCCTTGGAATCAAGCATGACTCCTGGTGACGCTATGAATAATAGATTTGAATCCTGTCCTGTCTGGGCCACACTCATCATCTCTGACTTACTTGAGCCCATTGCTACAATCACTCTGTCATTCCACCTTGTTAAAGAGGTTGGTCATCTTTTGCAGACCTTCTCCACCTTTCCAGGCATGTTTTCCAGTTACTGGTTTATGACTGTGTATCTGGAATTAAGCCACTTGACAGCTTTTATTGATTAGTTTCCCCTCATTAACTGGTAAAAAACATGGACATTTTGCAGATTATTCAGTTCTAAGACATTATAGACAAGAGTTCTTGATTTCAATAGGTTTTTTTAGGTTGATCATCCTGTCCTTATTTATTTAAGCAAACTAATTACCACTGGTGATGTTTTCTGGGTCCTGAGTCTTTTTTTTGGGGGGGGAGGGAGGGGGAGTCCTGAGTCTTGAACAGTAATATATTCCAGGAAAAGAGAGTTAACTTGATGAAGAGATGTGAAGCTGTCTTTTTCAAAATCGGATAAAGTGAATACTATCCTGTGGAGCAGGAGAGTGGAAGTAAAGTGCTCTTTGAAGAAATTAACATATGAATTAATGATTTTTATTGGTCTTGAGTAAAACTTTTGAGATGTTTTACTCTTTGAGTTGCTTTTTTTATTTATTGCTTTGGAATTGATTCTTTGCTGACATTAGCTTAATGATTTCTGTGTGCCAGTCATTGTTTTCAGTGCTTTACTTTATAGCCTTCTGTATAATCTTAAGAGAGGTTGAAATTTTCAGCAGAGGTAGGCGTTTTAGAACCTTCTGACAGTTTGTGTCACTAGATTTGGGAAGTGCTTATGTGGGAACAGTATGCCTAAGCATTGACAATGTTCAGCCACAGTCTGGAATGACTCTACTTAGAGAAGACATTCTTGGAGTGGCTACAAGAGAATATTAAAACACTTATTAGATAGGTGCTTTGCGTATGGTTTTTTTAAGTCTAAATAATCTTCAAGCACTTCATTAGAGTGATCCTTTACAGTAGATGTGCCCAACTGTATGACGTTTGTTTCCTTCCCTGCTGCCTCAAGAACCTTAGTCTTTTTTTCCCCCTCTGTTTATCACGATACTGTTGATTGGATAGCACTTAACTGCAACAACATGCTCTAATACAGAACAATTCCCTTTGGTTATGAGAATATTTAAAATGTATAGCTACTTTATTTTCATTATCCTCCTAGTTATTTTTTTTTTTAAATTTGATAGTGAAAAAATTAATCATTGACATATCATTAGCATTAATTGGTGCTATCATTCTCTAGTACAGCTATCTAAGAGATAATGACTTCTTATATCTGTTAATAATAGGCTATATAATTACTTAGCATATCTGTCTGCTTTATTACTTTATATATTACCTTAGAGGTTAACTAATATTTTTGGATTTTGGGTTGTTTTGCAGTTTATAGAAGGGTCATTTGAAGAATATTTAAAACGTTTGGAAAATCCACAGGTATGTATTGTTAATCTTCTATTTTTAATGACTTTGAGTACATTCTTTGCCTATATAAAAATAGCTGTTAAGAGTATTACAAAAAGTGTGTGGAGGGATTGTGGTACAATACACCTGGCCTTCCTAAAAACACCTTAAGTATACATTTTATGTGGTCCTTAATTGGATGACTATTAAAGCTGTGTTCTTAGAAATTACCTCATTAAGGATAGTGTCATGCTGTCTTTATCTTTGCCATAATGGCATGTGAATGTCACATAAGAGATTTATATAGTATCAGTGAGGATTTTGAAAATGTTGTGCTTTTGTGTGTAGGGGGTTTGGTAGGAGGGATGGGGTTTAATTGCTTCCTTAGGCAACTTAGTTGATACTCTTTTATGAAAGTTCCATTTCACTTGATTACCTTGAGAGGGGCAAGAGGCTTTTGAGGAAGAAAAGGCCAGCATCTCCCACAAAGTTGCATTGCCGTACTTTCTCAATCGTGTTGAAGTTAAAAGAATTTTTGAGCTTTGTTTTTTCCATGCTTCTAAAATTAATAATTTCATGGTAAATATTCAGATATCATGGAATTGTATATAGAATGTAACTATTTTTTTTTCATTACACCAAAAGTAGTCACTGTTAAATTAAAAATAACATTGGCAAAGGAAGGAGTTAGGTAGAGTGAAGCAGAGTGTAAAGGGACGTCCCAGACAGACAGGATGTTAAAAAAACTCATTGCAGTGAAATTGAAATAAACTGACTCTCCAGTAGGTTTTTAGAGACTATAAATTGAATGGGAGGAGATTGCTCATCTTTATGCTGTGAAACAGGTGGTGGGTTTGAACCATCTGCTTTTGGGTTGGCAGTGGAACTCCTTTCCACCTGGCCACCAGAGTTCCCCAGAGTTATATGCCTTTTATTTGATGGTGACTCATAGTGACCCTAAAAACAGCAGATCTGAATCTATCTGAACTCTACCTGTGCCATCCTCGATATCTCTGACATACTTGAGCTCATTGTTAGTCACCGTGTCAGTTTGTCTTGTGTGTGTTTCTACCTTGTAAGCATGATATTCTTTTCCAAGGACTAACAGAGGTCAGTCACTTCTAACAGCATTCCCAAAGTATATGAGATGGAATTTCACTGTCCTTACCTCTAGGGAGTACCCTGGTTTATTTTCTTCAGGATAGACCTGGCAGTCCATGGAATGTTTAATACTCTTCTCCAACACCACACTCAAAGACAAGTCTTCTGTCGTCCTTAGACATTATCTAACTTTTAGATGGGTAACAAATAATCGAAAAGACCATGGGTTGGATTAGGTATGCCTTGTCTTCAAACTGATGTCTTTGGTCTTTATTACCCTTGAGAGGTCCCTGAAAGCAGATTTTCCCGTGTGGTGCATCTCTTGATTTAATTGCTGGTTCCAAGGATGTTGATTGTGGATCCAGGTAAGGTGAAATTGTTGACAACTTCGGTCTTTTTTCATCTAGTAGGTTGCTGTCTGTTGGTCCATGGGTGAAGATTTTTATTTTCTTGATGTTGAGATACACATATTTAAGGCTGTAGTTCTTGTTCTTCTGCATCATTTTTTTCAAATCTTCCTCACTTGGAGCAAAGTTGTGTCCTCTGCATAATGCAGATTGTGAAGTCTTCCTGTGATCCTGATGCTACATTCTTCTTAATAGAGTTTGCCTTCTTAAATGGCTTGCTTGACATAGAGACTGATTAGATGTGAGGAAAGGACAGAGCCCCCCGTTTTGTTTGTTTTTTTTTTTAATTTTAAACCATGCAGTGTTCCTGTGCTCTGTTCAGACAACTTCATGTTCCAAGTATAGGTTTTGCATGAGCATAATTATGTGTTCTGGGATTCCTGGGTTGTGTTTCTGTGAAGACAAGACTTGATAATGTACTTCTGATCAGATTAAACTGACTGCCAGTGAGTTGATTCTGACTAATGACAACCCTGTGTCAAGTTTCCAAGCATGGGAATGTTAATGGAGGGTACAACTCACCTTTCTCCTGCAGAGTGCTTTTGTTAGTTATGTGGCTAACATGCTATGGACTGTGCTACTAGATCCCTTCTAGAAAGATTTTAGCCTAGAAGAAAACAGCAACATGAGGTTGCTGAAAATTTGAATTCTGTTGTGAGGGCATTTCACAGGGCAGTCTGTCTCACAGAAGTTAAGGAAGTACATGTGTCATAAAAGGTATGCTCGTAGGATGCTATGAACATCCTTTCTGAGGCAATATAGTACTTAAACTTGATGTAATGTGCCTACTTTTTCCTTTACCAGTTAAACAGTATTTTTAAAAATGGTTTTTAAAAGAGGGCATTCTAGGTAGAAAAACTGGTACAAAAAGCATATTGTTGTTTTGGTTAGAGCATATGAAATTAGGAAGTGGTGAGTAATAAGTCTGAGGGCAGGTAATAACTGGGCTGAGTAGTTTGGAGCTTGTGTCAGAAGAGGCTAGAATTTCTCAATGTTTTAATCTTTGGTGTTAGTGGTTGGCATATATATATGAATGATGATCTTCATAGTAGATCTTAGTTCTGTGTATAAGTAGTATCTTATCATGCATGGCATTGTGTTTCAGGATGTTGTTGCTGTTAGGTGCTTCGAGTCAACTATGAGTCATAGGAGCCCTCTGAACAATGCATCTGAATCCTGTCCTATCCTCTCTGCTCCTCACCAGTTCAAGCACGCTTGAGCCCATTGTTAGAATCATTGTGTCAGTCTGTCTCGTTGTGAGGGTCTTCTCTAAACGCTGACCCTCCATCTTTCCAAGCACAATGTCTTTTTCCAAGGACTAGCCTCTCCAAACATCGTAACTAAAGTTACTTGGAATTTTGTCATCCTTGATTCCAAGGAGCAGCACCTGGTTTTCACTTTCTGCAGGAAAGAGTTGTATAATCTTTTTTTTTTTTTTTTAGAGTTGTATATTCTTTTGGAAGTCCATGGAATATTCAGTATTCTTCTCTAGCACCATAACTAAAAGGCATCGATTTCAGGATAGATCTTGAAATGCCCTTTTGTTGAAGAATTTGACACCATTCATTCCTTTTCATTTTTTTATTCTCAGCACAATAGATCATGATTGTCTGATTAAAAAGGGCCAACATAAGTCATCTAACATATTTTGGACTTCTTATGAGGACATCATACTTGTTAAAAGTGGGAAATTAGCAAAAGGGAAAAATTCTTAATAAGATGGACTGATATTTGTTTACAACAGTAGGTTCAAACCCAGACTTGTTCTGAGGAGGGTGCAAGACCAGGCAGTGTTTCTTTTTATTGCATATAGAGTCATTGTATGTAGTATAACTCAATGACATTTGATAGCAACCTACTATTTGAAATGTTGGATTGAAAACATGTGGCTCTGAATCTCACTTTTTCCTTTAAAAACCTTGAATAGCTCTCCAGTGGTAGATTTGCAAGCCTTGGCACTGTCATTTAGATATGAAAGTCCAGAAATCTGCATGTTTCTAAAATGTGATTCTGTTGCCTAACGGTTACTCCTGATCACATTTTTTTTTTTTCCACAAAGCACAAAAACCTGCAGCGCTTCAGCTATGAGTGTGATCTGATTGGGTAGCAATGAGAGAGAGAAAAGTAGCTCTTTTGGCATAGTTTGTAGGGAGTTCTGTTGTTAACTCAGGCTACTTGCTCCATAGAAGGATGAACAGTCTCCTGTGAGATTTACAGTCTTGAAAATCTGATGGAGGTCTGGTTATGAGCCCATTCTGACTCGGTAGTAATGGGTTGCAATTTGATTTGTATAAGTAGTATATTGTTAGATGGTATTCATTTGACTCATGACAACCCTATAAACGACAGATCTGATGAACCTTGCTTCCTCCTGCGCCATTACTACCTCAGCCTTGCTCAGGCACATTGATGCAGTCACTATGTCAGTCCATCTTGTTGAACATGTTCCTTTCCTCTTTTGTGGACCCTTTACCTTTCCAGTGCTGTGTTTTTTACCAAGGACTTGCCCCTCCTGACAGCATGCCCAAAGTATATAAAATGATATTTCACTATCCATATCTCTTAAAGAGCACTCTAGTTGCTCATCACATTTTGCAGTCCATGACGTGTTCAGTATTTGCCAACACCACAATTCAAAGGCATCAATTCTTTGGTCTTCCTTATTTATTTTCCAACTTTCAGATACTTCTTGGCATCTGAACACTCTGGCTTAGATTAGTTACACCTTAGTCTTTAAACTGATAACTTGCTCTTTGCCCCAGTGTATCACATTTTATTTCTTGACAACTACTACCATGAATTTTGATTGTGGACCCAAATAAAATGAAATCCTTGACAACTTTAGTTTTTTCCATCTGTCATGATTTGGCCTGTTGCCCAGTGATACTAGTAGTATAGGAATACATTTTCATGGTAGAAGGGTTAAAATACAGATATATAGACATTAAAATGGGAAAAGCTTTTATTTTCTTTCTTTTGAACTTCCTGTACTTTATTGTCAGTAATTTAATTTAAAATGTGTACTTCTAGACAGACACACACTCTCATGTATACTCTACATATATGTATCTATATATGTCTTGTTCTTATATATACACATACAAATAAACATACTTTTTATTTAACACAATTACATTATCATGACTTAGATTTTTAAGTTAATAATCTTGAGATCTTTCCATGTTTGTTCATATGGATAATACGTCATTGTTTCCAAGGATTGTGTATTTCATAATATAGATCAACTTTAAGTTACTGTTTAATTATGTTGTTGTGTACTGTGAAGTCAGAACTGACTGATAGCTGACTTTACAGCCTGTTTCCAGAAACAATATATTGTGCAGGAGAAGATTACTCATTCTTTTCCCATGTAGCAACTAGTGGATTAGAACCACATGCCTTTTGGTTACTGGTGCAATACCTTACCACTTAGCCATCAGAGCTTGTATTTAATTATAACATACTATGAAAAGGGTAGCATAGTATCAGAACACGTCATCCAGCTTCATAGAAGAGAATCACTGTCAGTTCCCACTTGTGCTGATTCCTGTGAGATTAGAGTCAGATGTATCTCCACCCTTGAACTTTTTTGCCCAGTCTGACACCACCTATTCCTCCTATGGCACACTCTGCATCTCTGTTAGGTTGATAATTTATTGCAGATGGCCAAACTGAATGCATAGTCTGCATTTAAGATTATGAGGTATATTAAGGAAGTACTGGGCTATGGTTCAATATCAGGAACAACTCAGGCTTTAGTTACTCAGTCAGGACAACTTGAAGCCATTCCCACTGGCAGGCTTCTCTCTGATAGTTGACTTTTTTGGCTTGGCCTCTACTCTGCTTAGACTAATGTTACAAAGCCTGTTAGCTCCAAGGTGAGTGCCTGGAAGCACCTCACTCTGCTAGTTAAGCAGTGGCCCAAAGGTCAGCATGCTTGAAGGTACATTCTTCACTTGGTGGCTTGGCATATTGCCTGCCTGTAGCAATCTTGCCATGCTGAACTCTTGGTTCTGGTCTTGACCATTTTCTCTGCAATGTTTGTGGCTACTTAATCTTTTTGTACCTTCTCTGATATTCCAGTTTTCTTAATTTACTATATCTAAGAGGTTTTAGGCTCAGGGACTCAAGATCTAAAGACCTCCCTCCTCCTCTTGGTGTTAATGATGCTCCCTCCATATTTCTGGAATTCAGTTAAAGAGTATATGAACATTTACCTTTTTTAAAAAATTCTTCTTACTAATTTTAATGAAAGTTTACAGAGATTTTGGATTTCCATTTATCCATTGTTTCACTTTTCTCCCTGCCCACTCCTTTCCCCCAGTTCGCTCTTCTCTTTGAAAAGTAAAAGAAAAATTCTTTCATTGTTATACAATCCCTCCCTCGATGTCCATTCCACTATGCAGCTTTCGTTCTGCACTCCTGTCATGACTATAATACCTAATCATGTATCCCTTTTAAACAGTTCTCTCCCTCATCTGTTTAAATGTGTATACATTATTTATCCCATTTTTCTTAATCTTCCCCCAAACCTGATGTCAGTCTCGTTTTACTACAGTGGCATTATACAGTATTTGTCCTTTTGTGACTGACATAGTTCACTCAGCATAATGTCCTCCAGGGTCACCCATTTTGAATAATATTGCATGAGTTCCCTGTTTCTCAATGCAGCATAGTATTCCATTGTGTGAATATACCACAGCTTCTCTGTCTATTCGTTTGTTGATGGGCACTTAGATTGTTTCCGGCTTTTTGCTATTTTGAACAAAGCTGTGATAAATATGGGTGTGCAGTATCTGCTTGGGTAGTGGTTCTGGCCTTTTTGGGGTATATTTCCAATAGTGGAATTGCTGGGTCAAATGGTGTTTCTATTTGCAACTTTTTGAGAAAGTGTCATACTGCCTTCCCTAGTGGGTGTACCATTTTACATTCCCACCAACAGTGAATAAGGGTTCCAGTTTCTCTACAACCACACCAGCATTTGTTGTTTGCTGTTCTGTTAAATTTTGCTATTCTTACTGGAATAAGATGATATCATAGTTGTTTTGATTGAACATTTACCTTTTGAGATATACTTTCCGTTTGTCTTCCAGAAAGGCTCAAGGAAGATAGCATTTCCAGTTTATTTAAGAATTGTTCTTTTTGTACCTTCATTCACTGAAGTAAGAGCATGTGTTAGGCTTTACACCAGATCCCTTTACAATAACTTCTTACTCACAGATGCCACATTAGTGATCTTGACACATTAATGGAAAATAATTATTTAAGCTTTTAATTAAGAATTTTTACATGAACTGTTTGGATTAATTATTATTTGCATGTTTTACCTCAATCTTTGTATAATCTTCCCAATACTAATAGTACTACTGAATTTTTCCAGCAGAGGTATAGTGTAAAAAGTAATGAAACATTTATTTGCGAACTTTTTTTTCTTTAATACAGGAATGGGTTGGACAAGTGGAAATAAGTGCCCTTTCTCTTATGTACAGGTAAAAATTATAATAATAAAAATAAGCAAAAATAAAATCAATATAATGTGTTATCCTAAAAATGTTAAACTGAGCAACACTTTGTCGACATAGTATGTAGCATATTAAGCTGCTAACAAACTGGTAAATCCATTTTATACTTTGGTTGTGATGCATCTTTTTCTGTGTTCCCCCCCCCCCAATTCCATCAGTTACATTTTGACATTTACTGTATATGTGTTGAAGTTTCAGACAAACCAAAAATCCTCAAACTTATTGCCATCAAGTTGGAACTGATACACAGCTGACCCTCTAACAGGTTTTCCGAGGCTGTAAATTGTACAGAGGTGGTTGTATGTTTTCCTTCTAGCCAGTGGTGAATTTGAACTGGAAGAGAGGCCCCACGTTGAGGTTAGCAGCACAGCTCCTTGCCTTCTAGGCAACCAGAACTTACTGTGTCAAAATTTAGATATTTTAATTGAAATATTTTTGGGAGTACAGAAGTGCTAATAGTTTAGGTCATGTAACTTGTTCTACTTTGTAACCTTACAGTAAAATGATTTCTTTTTTCCTCTTGGTCAGTGGTATTGAATGGCCACTAGACAAGAACTAAAACAACATTATTTTTCAGTTTTATTACTTTTTACCAATACATGATCAGAGAAAGATGTTTTCCCCAATATGTGTTTGTCATTTTTACCGTTTTTGTGAAATTTAAGTCTTCGTTTAAGTCTACCAAATTGTCTACCCATTTGTTTATGCCTCTTAGCAACCCTTTGTGTGTGGTATAGAAATATACCTTAGAGGTTAAAAGAACTATTTGGCCTAATCCAACGAGTGTTGCGCTGTTACCAAAAGGCTGTCTGTTGCCATTGGTTTGAATCCACCAGCTGCTTTGAAGGAGAAAGATGGGTAGTCTGCTCTGGTTAAGGTTTACAGCCTCAGAAACTTGGAGTTGAAAGCAACTTGATGACAGCAAGTCTGTGAATTTATAGGACTTTTCAAGGCTGTGAACTTCAAGAATTAGTTTGCATTCTTGTTTAAAGTACTCCTGGAATACACATATTCAAAATAAGTCTTCAGATTACATACAAAAGTTTTGTGTTAAATAAGATTCCTTTATCTTTTTATAATTTATAATTCAATTATTTAATCATTACTTATATATCCCTAATGATGGTGCAGTGGTTGAGCAATTGGCTGCTAATTAGAAATTTGGCAGTTCCAATACCAACTCTCAGTGGAAAATGTGGCACTCTGCTTCCCTAAAGATTTACAGCCTTGGAAACTCTTCTAGAAAGTTGTGCTCTGTCCTACATACAGGGTTACTATGAGTCAGAATTGACTTTTGAGGGCAGTGGGTTTGGTTTGATTTCTATCTCTAGTGCCTACAACTTTACCTGGGACATATTAGGCACTTGATGAGTGAATAAATGGATGATTAAAATATATGTGATGGATTCACAACATATAATTTCTAAATGTTACTTTCAGGAAGGATTTTATAATTTATCGAGAACCAAATGTTTCTCCTTCACAAGTAACTGAAAATAATTTTCCTGAAAAGGTAAGATTTTTCTAAGTTCTTACTCTAAAGAATTTAATAATTAACTTGAATTTAATACTTTTAATTGTATTAATAGTGCAGTTGTTTTAATTTAGTATGTAGTGACTTGAAATATTTCTTAGATGGCTATAATACTGTTTTTAAAGTTCTTTTTGATAATCTTAAGTGAACCTATTTTATATTTTCATTTATCCAACTCACTAAGTTGAACCTTTCATAACATATTAGTGGAAGAAACAGTTATGCTAGACTCACTGCTCTGTGATTAACTGTAGACTGTTTTTTATAAAAATAATTTATGAAAATAGAGTCTGCCTATAGTCATTGGGGGCATGAAGGCATAATATGGTCCACAAAGACAGTGTATTATATGTCCTACTTTGGTAAATAGCTTAAAAGTGATTTTAAGGTATACATATTGATCTGTCCCTTTATGGATCAAAGAAGAATGAGGAAAGTCAAAGGTTATACACAGCCAAAGGAGTAATTAACCACATGGACTTCAGTTTCCACAACATCAACACCAGAAGACCTAGATGATACCACTGCTTACTGGTCTGAAAAGGGATCACAGTTGGAGGTCCCTGATAAGAGTGTGTGGAAAATGTTGAACAGAACTCAAAGGCATTAAAAAAATAAAATGTATAGTTTTGTTAGTAACTTTTAGATACCCTGAGACTATGGCCCATAGTCACCCTTCACGTCTGACTCACCTGTCAGACAAAGGATAGGCCAATTAATATGATTAATAGCACTAGAGAGGAATGTACTACTTGAACAGTCAACCACACAAGATTAAAAGAGCAATATCTGCCCAGGGATGAAACTCAGCAGATACAAATAAATGAATGGAAATAAGGGAACACAGAGCGTGGGAAGAATGTTGTTTTTTTAAGTCCTGGATAGAAAAAGTGTCGATATTTTGCTTTAGGTGGCTATTGGAATCATCATGGAGACCACATTGAAGTGACGTGTATATCACCATCGTGGTTAGGAAGGAATATTGAGTGCCTTGCTACTAAGAAATTTTGAAATTAAAAAAAGCCCCTACTCTGGAATTGGCCATTAGAAAAGAATGTCCAATAGAAAGTTTGGATTGTAACATGAAACTATTACACGTTTTCCTTGATTAAATAATTAACATTAGAAATTCTGTAAACTGTTTAAAAAATTGGTTAATTCTGCTTCTTGAATGTCACTATTATTATAGCTTGTTGAAGTCATAGTTTCATAAATTGTGTCTACCCTTTTTTGTGATCCTATAGACATTTTTTTTTAAAGTTTTAATATTTGGTGGAAAAATGCACACAATATATCATCCCTATTCAACAGTTTCTGCACATACAGTTCTGAGATTGGTTGCATTATTTGTTTTGTCAACATTCTTAATTCTGTCTACGCAAATAATCTTACCCTACTAATTTAGACTCTGTTGTTTTATTTAATAAAGATAATTCTTGAAAAGAGCACAGTGCTCATGTACACATCTTTTAATAGTTAAACCGTACTGTCTGTTTTAAATAAGACTTTAGAGGATAGTTTTGGTTCAGAGTTTAAAGCTTAGAACAGAAGATTTCAGGAGTTCTTCCAGTCTTGATGGGTCTAGTAAGTCTGGATTCCTTAGGAACTTAAAATTCTGTTAACACATTTTACTCAATTTTAATTAAGGCCAATCTTCTGAATCCTTGATCTGTACAGTCAGTAATGGTTGTTGAGTACTCTTCATTTCTGATCTCATAGTGGTAGAAGCAGTTCTGCAGTCTCATTCCTTCTTCAGTTCCTGGGCTACGGGTTCGGGTGACTAGAAACCAGTTAAAGCTTCTTAGAAACCTTTAAAATCCCAGGCAGTATTCAGTGGCTTAGGAAGAACAGAAACTAAATATTAAGCCAGTTGAATTGTCCCATAAAACCTTATGTCACTTTCTGCTTACCTTAAACAAAAACCACTCCACAGATTGATTGTATTCTTTCATAGTAACTACTAATAGCTGTTGTTTATTATATACCTATTCTTAGTGATTTTATGTATATGAAACCATATATTTATCTTTTCGTGATCAATTTTCTTTTTCTCATTTTATGTACCTCCATATTTTATTTATCCAGTTTCATCTCTTGATGGGCACTTTTTGCTATTGTGAATAGTGCTACAGTGAACCTAGTTAGGTACATAACTATGTAAAAAGAGCAAGGGCCATGTTGGGATGGCTATATCTGACCTTTACCAACTTCATGTAGGGCCTGTTCTTGCCCACAGCATAAATAACAAAACCAGTTCCCAACAGGTCAGACATATCACTTTCATTCAACATCAGACTTTCTGCTTTACTATTTCCAAAATCCGATGGGATAGCTCACAGACCACACAGAATCATACAGGGAAAATAAAAACATAATCTGATTAGTAACAGAATATAATTAAAACAGCTCCCAAAATGTCCACACAGGCACCTCAGCCTCGATCCTTGTAGCTTTTGGCTACTGTTGCAAGTTCTTGGTCCTGCCAGTATTGGCCTCCCTACTCTCCTCCAAGGTTCATCTTATGTAAGGTCTCCAATTTGACCATTTGTGTTCCTGCTGTAGGTATAGAAAGAAGGGCATCTTGCATTCTCTTGCTTCTTGTTCAGTGGCACCAGAAGATCTGTCTGTCTCCTGCTAGCTTGCTCAATAATCTTGTAGATTGTTGAGACTAGCCAGTCTACTTGCAGAATGTTGGATAGCCAATCCCCTTGTCGATAGATTAATATGCCCTATTTACATATTTTTGCCCATCTACAAAGCATAGTTAAATAATGGCTAGGAAAAGTCACTGAAAGATAAACTCCACACTGGGTCACTGTTATATGATCCAAAGGTTCCTCCTATGCTCTAGGTGTAGGAGCATATAGTTAGTTGCATAATAGTCCTGTTAATGGGTCTTTCTAGTATGCACATGGAGATTATCTTATCATTCACAGCATTTTTATTTTAGGATAGAACTTGAAATTGACTTTTTGACTACTAATGCAACACCATTCTTCCTGTTTTTCATTTCCTGCATAGTTTACTATATGATTATCTGATTCAGAGTAGCCGTAGCTGATCCATTGCATCTCACTAATGCCTAATATGTTTATATTCATGTGTTATATTTCTTTTTTAACAATTAACAATTTTTCAATATTTAAGCTACGTACATTCCATTTACCAGTTGTTGATGTTTGTTACTGATTTTCTTCATGTCAACTGACTTCCAATCTGGGCTCTACAACTACATTACTATAACTATCCTCTTTGTTTAGTTTTCAAAAGTTTTTATTTAGGAAGTAGATGGCCTGTTCTGCCTCCTAGCCTATCTTAATCAGGGAGCTCCACCAAAACCTGTTTATGAGGGGAAACCCTTTTGAAATTTGACACACCAGTGGTAAAGATGTCACTGTAACACTTGACAGACAAGTGACCACTTAGAACAAGGTTCTCTCCAAACAGTACCAGGCTTTAGGGCCTCAGGTCTCAGGGCCCAGCCAACTTTTAAATACAAAGTCCTGCCCACTAGGTTCTGTTGGCCTACCCAAGAAGCTTCCCACCCAAGCTGATTGTAAACACATCAGTTTCAGTTAATCAGCTTACACTTGATGGCTAACACAATTAGATTAGAAAGAATTTACCCCAAACAATTTACCCCAATGTGCCCAGTTTACCACCCCATCCCCCTTTCAAATAAATCACAAACACCTACCAGGATCCAATTGGCCAAGCTAAAGACTAACTTTTAAATACAAAGTCCCACACCAGATCCTGTTTTCCTAAGCAAGGTATGTTTCAATATCAAGAAAACAAAGATTCTCACCATTGAACCACTAGGCAGTGTTTTAATGGATGGAGAGGGGACTGAAACGGTCAACAACTTTATCTTGCTTGGATCCACAATTAACACCTTCGGTACAAGCAGTCAGAAAATGAGACACATTGCACTGGGAAAATTTACAGTTAGGGACCTTTACACATTATTGAGGAGTAGTGATGTGAGTTTGAGGACGAAGGTGTATCTGATTTAGGCCATAGTCTTTCCGATTACTAGCGATACATCTGAGATCTGGACAGTGAATAAGGATGTCAGAAAAAGAATTGATGCCTTTGAGCTCTGTGGTGTTGGAGAACCTCTGGACATTTCATGTACGGCCAAGAGAATGAACAGATCTTGGGTAGGGCAGTTGGAGTGCTCTTTGGAGGCAAGAATGATGACGCCTCACATACTTTGGACATGTTAGTAGGGACATGATGTTGGGAAGGGTAGAGGGTCAGTGAAGGAATGGAAGACCCTCAACCAGGTGGATTCACCTGGTGACTGCTGCAGTGGGCTCTTGTGTGTCAGGTAATGTGAGGAGGGTGCAGGACAGAACAGTGTTCAGATCTTTTGTTATTAGGGTTGATGTGAGTCGTGCTCGACTTGATGGCACCTAACAACAGCAGGTTACTGTACACGGGATTGCTGGATCATGTGGGAGTTCTGTTTTTAGTTGTGTGTTTTTCTTTAAATATTTTATTAATGATTTTTTATTTTTATACTAGTTTATTTACAAAATTCAAATACATTATTTTAGAGAACACATTTTTCCAATTTCCCTCACCTCCTCACCCATCAAATTGTACAACTCCATTAGTTTCCCCTCCCCTGTCACATCCTCATCCCTCTGCTTCCAACTCCTTGCCCCACTCCCTCGATCCTTCCACACATTCTACAGTAATGGTTTTATACACTATTTGCCCTTGTGGGACTGAGTTAATTCACTCAGCATAATGCTCTCGAGTCCCTCCCAAGTTAGGTAGTAATTTACAAAATCATTGCTCCTGTGTGCTGCGTAGTATTCTATTGTGTGAATGTACCATAATTCCTCAATCCATTGTTTTATGATTAGACATCTGGGCTTTTTCCATGTTCTTGCGACGGTGAATAATGCTGCTAGGAGTTGGTGGGATTGTAAAATGGTATAACCATTCTGGATGGCACTTTGGCCCTTCCTCAAAAATCTGAACATAGGTATTCCATATGACCCAGCTATTTCACTACTTGGAATATACCCTGAGAAAAAGAGAACCGAGGCCCAAACGGAGACTTGTACTCCAGTGTTTTTAGGTTTTGAGGAATTGCTATATTATTTTCCATACTGATTGTATACATTTTCATCTAGGTAAAAGGGTACGGATCTCTTTAAATCGTCATTTGTTATTTTCTGGGTGTGTTTTTTTTTTTTATTACCATTCTAGGAAGAGTTAAGTGGTGTTTAAATATGTTTTTTTTTTTTTTTTATTTGCATCATTAATGACAATCGGCATCTCTGCATGAGTTTGTTGGCTGTTTGGGGAAGTGTCTTCATGTTTTGCCCTTTTTGGATTGAATTCTTTTTCTTTTAGTTAAGTTATAGATGTTTTATATATCTTTTTAAAACTATGGTGTATGGTTTCTAAAGTTTATTCCGCTCCCCAGTTTTTAGCTCAACTTTTTATTCTTTTTATACAGTATTTAATTTTTATGAGTTTCTAGTTAACCTATTTTATCATCTTCTATTTGTGCAGTTGTTGTGACAATCTATCATTAAAAACAAACACCTATGTCCCGTAGCTTTGCTGTCCATTTCTTTTTCCAAAAATCTATGGTTTTAGACTTAAGGGTTCTTAATCCCTTTTTTTCCAATTCACTTAGAAAAATACTGTAACTGACCATATTTGAAATTCTTAAGTTCCTTCCAAATATAGGAAATATATTGGGGAATTAAAGTAATACAGAAGCTTCTGAGATAAGTTGCTATGTAAATAGAGTAGCAGAAATGTGTTTTCCTTTTTCCCTTGCAGGTATTACTGTGTTTTTCAAATGGAAATCATTATGATATTGTCTATCCCATAAAGTATAAAGAAAGCTCAGCTATGTGTCAGTGTAAGTACTGCTTTTGCATTTGTATTCCAGATTTTTATAACTATTGGAAATAAGTCAGGGAAAATATATATAGAGTGTGTGTGTCCCATACATTTCTGGGAGCATTAAGTTACCAAGAGTAATATTTCCATAATTAAAAAGCTGTTTTAAGTACTTTAAAAAGGAGCTAGTGGATAGAATTTGACTTGTAAATACAGCGTCTTTTTAACAGTAGGTATTTAGTAAGGATTTGTCTGCGATTTTAAAGCCGCCAGAGAATAGGGTGAAAATATAGCTAAATAAATGAAATATTTCATTGTTCTTGGCTCTAGGGCAGGATCTTTTAGTCTTTGCACTATTGACTTTTTAAGCCACCTAATTTCATTACCATGGCCGTTGACCTGTGTTTAAAAGGATGTAGCCCCTCTAATTTCCACCCAGTAGATGCCAGTAACATCCTGCCATTATGAGGATCAAAAATACCTCTTGAATTTGTCAGTTATTTCTTAGAATTATTTAAGAATTACTACCCTCCTACCTTCATTTCCTTTATGTCTGACAAAACATAATTCATTAAGTGGATAGAGAGAGACCAGTAAGACAGATAAATGTAAAGAGCAAGTTTTTAATTTTTTAAAAAATTAACCTGTTTGTACTACATCCTGGGTGGTGTGTTTCTTCTTTAGAGACCCAAATCTGGCCATTTCATTTATGAATAAGAAAGGCTAGGGAGTCTGCTTTTCCTGGTATGTCTTGGTGTCTGGGTAATAGCATGGTTTTAGTCAACATTCTTAAGAAGAGGTCTTAAAAGAGACCCCATTAAAAGGGTGGGCACTGTTGCAAAAAAATAAAAAAAAAATTGTTATTGAGTACCATTGAGTCAGAACTGACCCATAGCTGATTCTTAGCGAGTTTTCAGAGACATTTAATCTCATGGGGTGATTGCCCATCCTTCTGCAGAGCTGGTGGCGGTTTTGAACTGCGTGCCTTTGGAATTGTACTACAGCTTTTTACTACCAGGCTAGGGGGCTTATGTTTTTGTATTTATTACAGAGTTCCTTGTAATTAATAAAGCCAAATGAGAATCCGAAAGTTTAGGTGTAGTGAGTTTAACATTTTTTATAAAAGATAATTTTAGGGTTAGAAACAGCTCACTTTAGTGCCTTATGAAAATTGTATTGTAAAATCTGAAGCTGGGTTATGATGCCAGACACCCTCTTGTTTTAGAGAAACCTGAGATGAAGTTCCTTTCCAAAATTATTGATCGTGGAAATACTAACACTAGCCGTGCTTGATTTTGCTACAATCTTAATGTTTTTCATGCAGGTTATATGGTATAACTGAATCTGTGTGCACTCATTTTTACAATAATAATAATAATAATAATAATAATACATCCTTGCGATAGGATCAAATATGAAGATTACATATGAGGATATGTAATTTGCATATTTAGCTTCCATGATTGTCTCATTTATATTTTTGTATTGAAACTAGTAATAACTAATATAATAATTTGAAGCTAAATAACTCTTAATGTCCTACTTGCTCTCTAGATGTCTTTCTAGATGTTATGTATATTCCATTAGGATTTTGAAAGCTTACATAATAGATAATTTCATTTTTATGCTCTTATTTTAAAAAAATACTCAATTTTTAATTATTGCACTAATTTTAAAATTACTTAGTAAGATTTCTCATTAATTTCAGCTCTCCTTTATGAATTGCTGTATGAGAAGGTCTTTAAAACTGATGTAAGTAAAATCTTGATGGGACTAGACTCCTCTGAAGTCCCTGATGAAAACAACAGTGATATATCGGATTCAGAGGATGAAAATTGCAAGTAAGGATTAATTTAAATCTTGCAATATTTTTCTTAGTGCATATAACAATAACAAAGTTTTTTTTCTAGGGAATTATTTGACATACTAAATACAGAATTCACACAATAGTCGTACTCTCACTGTTTTATCTTAATTCATATAATTAGTTTATCATTTCATCCACCTCCTAGTAAAAGGTTTGGTTTTTTTTTTTAAAATATAATTTTTATTTATTTATTCTTTTTATGTGTGTACCGTCAAATTGGATCTGACTGGTACAGGAGGCGATTGTTCCTCCTCCTTCAGCAGAGCATCTGGTGGATTTGAACCTCACAGCCCTGGGATTGCAGTGCAGTTTCCCACCACTAGGCCACCAGAGCTCACAAAGAGTTTTTTAAAAAAAATTCATTATTTCTTGTTCAAGACCTATTCTACAGAATAATTTTTTGTTCCTACTTTATGTGTATATGTTGTACAATTTTCAAGTTAACTTGTCAGTTATTTACATATCCAGTAATGATAAAATGGTTATTCTGATTTCCTTGGCTGATTTTTATTTTCCATTTTCTTAGATAATGCTTCTTTTCCCTCTTTTTAAAATAATGAAACTACCATTACAATTTAAAGATGTAAACAACTTTCTGCCTAATCTCTTTTAGTTAGATTTGCATAAACTTAGTGGCTCAAAGATTGAATAGCTCAACCTGGTTTGAACACTGGTTTCCTGCCAGCTGTTTTTGGGGCCAACTATTTAAATTCTCTCATTGCCATGAAGTTGGAGCTGATTCAGAGCTAACCTTCCAGTGGATTTTTGGAAGCTATAAATCACACAGAAGATTGCCCCGCCTTTTTTTCATGGAGAAGCTAGTCAATTCACACTGTTGCATTTGAGTTGAGAGTGCACTTTACTACTCACTAGGCTGCCAGAGCACCCTTTAAATTGACTAAGAAGTCTTAATTCTGTGACTATAAAAGAACAAGTTAGTGTTTCTGTAAAGGAAAATTTTTGTGAGAAATACATGATGTGTTAAGTGAATAGCCTAGTTCCTAGATGTAATATTTAACATACATTATTATTGTTTGCCGTGAGTTCCAAGTGACTCCTGACCCTCCAGTGGGTTTTCAGAGACAGTTAATTGCACGAGAGAAGATTACCCATCCTGGGGAACAGCTGGTGGATGTAAGCCACATGGCTTTTTTTGGGGGGGATTACAGTACCGCTTTCCATTATTAAGTTTACTTTTTGCTTATGTTTTATAGTAACTAACCTTATTTCCAGTTAAAGGATTCTTCCTCCTGAAAGTACTCTTCTGGAAGTTATACATTGTGAAACTAGAAATAGAAATGGAGCTTAAGCCTTAAGAAAAGCTATTATTAAGTAGATATTTTTAATATATTTTTGTTGATTTGTAATTTCCATTTGTTGATTTAAAATATTACAGTATGGTTTGATGATTGATTAACCTTCATTTCTTTCCAACTTGAGTCTATTAAGTTAGAATTTGAATCTGCTATTGCAAATTTAAGACCACTGGTGGCCTAGTGGCAAGAAACTTCACTATAATCCTAAAGGCATGTGATTTGAGTCCATCAGCTGCTTCCATGTGAGAAGGATAGACGATCTCTTCTCATGCTAGTAACTGCTTCTGAAAACCTACTGAAGGGTCAGCTGTGGGTTGATGACAACTTTATGGTACTCCACTGTCACCACCACCACATGGTATATTTAATCCTTAAATAGGTCACTTTGTACAAATGGAAATTATGTTCCATGGTTGCACTGTGAGCACCTGTCTGATTAATGTATTCATGACAATCAGAAGATGGAAGAGGGAATGCTTGCTCTGTGGTCATGGTAGGAAGACTTTTGGTGTACTTTTTTTGGGTTGCTGTTTCTGCTAATAGTATTAGCAGCAGTTTTGCCTGTGATGGTATTTGGCAGAAGCTGTATAAGCTTACCAGGGAAAACGGAGATGTGGATGAAAGAAGGCTTACTATCATGCTCCATTCATTATACACTGTACTGCTGTAGTCCTTAGGAACTCTCATGTTGTGTAGTGGGTTGCGTGTTGGGCTTCAGACCAAAAGTTGGGGCAGCCTGTTTCCATTAATTTTATAACCTCAGAAACTGAACGGCCCACTGTGAGTGGAAATCCAACTTAATATTAGTGGGTTTACTGTTAATTGTAGTTGCCCTTTGCATTTCTTTGACATTTTTAGTTGCAGTAAACATTATTTTTGTGTCTTGTCTGGTGTAGGGAAGTAGAATGTGGTATAACGTGGCAAGATTAACATAGTGTAGTAATAAGGCGGGAAGGTACGATCTACTTGAACCTGGATTATTTCAGGATTCAAATTTGTCCTGAAATAATGGGAAACTGTTGGCTTTTTTCCCTGACTAGACAATTGGATCTCTATCATTGCAGTTAAGGTATAGATTTAGAAATTGCTCTAAAGACTTCTTGGCAGCTGCTCTTGTGAGCTTTTGTCTCATGGTGACCCTTGTATTATAAGAGTAGAACTGTCTCATAGGGTTGATCTTAGTGTCTTTGATGAAAGCAGGGGGATAGGCATTGACTGTATTGAACCTTCTATGAAGTTTTGAACCAGCAGTCTGTAGGTTAGCAGTTGATAGCAAGTTGCTTATATTATTTAGGCTCTTTTGCTGAACACTAAAGATTATTTTATTTTGCCTTTTGGTGATAGCAGCTGAATGAACCACTATTCTGCCAGAGCTTCTTGTATGTCATTCAACTGATGACTGTTCTTTAGCTGTACTTAAATGTACTTGACAATAAAAGGTTTGAATGTTGGGCCTTACTAGATGGATAATTTTGTTGTATTGGACTCTTTTGTTTAATGGAGACCTAACGTGACCATTGAAAGGAAATTTTTTCCTCGGATTTTTTATAGACTTAATTTTTAAGTTCCTTAGTTTATGATGTCCAAAAATTATTTATGGTAAAAGTGTTTAAATTATATCCATATATACGTATACACACACAATAAAACTTGTATTAGCTTGTTTTTGAGAATTTTTTCCAGTGTTGAGAGTTTTAGTTTTGTAAAGTTATAAACATTAGAAGTTACTTTTATGCAAATAATATTTTTTGATTCCTAGTTGAGGTTAATTTTTTTTCTTTTTAGGATGAAATCTACCACTTCTAATGATGTGAATGGATTTAAAACTTTGTCAGGCAATCAGGTATTTTTCTTTTAGATAATTTTAAAACTAGTCCTTGAAAATATGAAAACATAGGAATTTGTGAACTATTTTTTCTAGTACCTTGTCAATAAAAACAGGTCCTTGTAATGAGAAGAAACTTACTATTAATTTAGTTTTTTGCAGTCTTTTAAAAACAATTTTTTTAGACAGCATTTTTTTTTTACTTCAAATTTCCATTTGTGTATCAAACAAAACATGTCTTAAAAGCATTTCTTTGTTGAATTAACTTCCTGGCTTTGTTTACTTTAGACTCTGAAGAACAGTGGGAACTCCACTAGTCCTCCTTTGTCTACAAAGGTTCTTAAATCACTCAATCCAGCAGTCTATAGAAATGTGGAATATGAAATTTGGCTCCAGTCTAAACAAGGTAATTTAAAACTGCATTTTTGGTAAATTTACTTTGTGATACTTAAAAATAATTAAGTCTAATTAATATACTGATATTGTTTCCAGCTCAACAAAAACGTGATTATTCCATTGCTGCTGGCTTACAGTATGAAGTTGGAGATAAATGTCAAGTAAGAAAATATTTTACTTGAAATCTTGTTTCTAATAGGACCCAAGAGATTAGCTTAAATTTGTTGAGAATTTGAGACTATATTCTATATATATTTTAGTAGATGACAAGTTAATTCATCTTGATTCACCTTGAAATAAATTCAAATTCCACTTTATAGGTCAGTTTATTTTGTCATCTTTTTCTGTATGTAATTTTATTCCTGTTGGATTGAGGAAGGAAAAGGAATAATTTAATTTTAATTAAATTTAATTTCATTAAATTATGTCTCTGACCAAGGGTACCTGATTCTTGGATTAGAGCAGTGGCTTTAGGCCTGGGTGATTTTTGCCTACTCTACGGGAACATTTGATTTTTACAGTTGGGATAATGTAACTTAAAGCCTTGGTGGTGGTATGTGTTGTATAGGTGACTAAAAGATTCCAATCTGCCAGGCTGCTCCTTGGGAGAAAGATGCTGTTAAGATTTACAGTCTCTGAAAAGCTGCTGGAGGGTGTTTGTGAATTTGAATTCACCTGATGGCAGTTAATTTGTTTAGAGTGTTAATGACATCTAATGAATAGAAGCCAGGGATTCTACATGTGTGTAGAAGAATTATCTGGTCTAGGTTGTCAATAATTAGAGAAATCCAGCTCTGTGTTTTGGAACAAGAACATACAAAAATTTATATGTATAAAACAGAAAAACCAAACAAAAGTGATAGAAAAAATACTTTTTTTATCAAATGTGATTTTCACTGAAAGTGTTGTATTATTAAATCTATTTAAAAATAACTATAATTCACAGGGAAATACTCATTTAATTTGTGATACATTAGTTTTTGAGAAGTATCTGACGAAAATTATGTGGGGATTATTAATGACATGCTTAATCTTAAAAACTTTTAATAGTATTCTAGGCTACTTGAAAGGAGAAAATTGGATTAATTTCTGTGTGTCCTTATAGGATTGCTCAAACTATTTTAAGTACAGAACTGAGTTGTGGGAACTGACTACAGTGAATTGGCAAACTTGGAAGATAACAGAATAAATTAAGAGCGTAAAACTCCTCCTTTAAACAAAGAAGAAATTTTTACTTCTCTTTGCATCATTAAAATGATTGTTACTCACTTCACTAAAGAAGACATTCAGATGGCCAACAAGCACATGAAGAAATGTTCAAAATCCCTAGCTCTAAGAGAGATGCAAGTCTAAACAACTATAAGATACCATCTCACCCCAGTCAGAATAGCAAAATTTAACAGCAGCAAGCAACAAATGCTAGCGAGGTTGTAGAGAAACAGAAACCCTTATTCACTGTTGGTAGGAATGTAAAATGTGAAACCACTGTGGAAGGCAGTATGGTGCTTTCTCAAAAAGTTGCAAATAGAGATACAATTTGACCCAGCAATTTCACTACTAGGAATATAGCCCAAAGAGACAGTAACTGACATCAAGCAGCTATATGCACACCCATGTTTATTGCAGCTTTGTTCACAATAGCAAGGAGTTGGAAATAATCTAAGTGCCCATCAGCAAATGATGGACAGAGAAGCTGTAGTATATTCACACAGTGGAATACTATGCTGCATTGAAAAACAAGGAACTCATGCAGTATTATTCAAAATGGGTGACGCTGGAGGACATGCTGAGTGAAGTATCTCAGTCACAAAAGGACTAATACTGAAAGACTGACAGCGGGGTTGGTGGGAGACTGAGAAGGATGGGTTCAATAATGTATACTGCATTGAAAGAGGTGAGGGAGAAAACTGTTTAAAAAGGATATGTGATTAGGTATTTTTGTCATGACAGGAGTTCAGAGCGAAGGCTGCATAGTGGAGTGGATCTGGGAGGAGGGATTGTAAAACAATGAAAGAATTTTTCTTTTACTTTTTCAAGAGGGTAGCGTACTTGCGGGGGGGAAGGTTGAAAGGGGAGAAAAATGCAACAATGAATGAATGGAAATCCAAAGACTCTGTACATTTTCATTGAAATTAATAATTTTTAAAAAAGGGGAAAATGATTATTATAAGTCTAGCATATTTACATTGAGGTTGAAATTACTTTTGTATTTTAGATGACTGTTCGTCAAGTTGCTGGTTAAAGTAGACACTGGTTTCAGATTTGATTTTTCCCTTTTTCAAAATTCTTTTCAGATTTTTCTTTTTAAGAATATTTTGTTTCTGTAGAAGACTGACCATTTTACTTAGATAAAATGTAAATTTTGTTTGTAGAAACAGATATGTATATGTATGATGCATTTTAAACCTTGATTAAAAATTAATTCTTGAAGAGAGTAATGCAAATTGTTCTGTTGAGAATAATTCCTCGGCTTGAATAGTTTTTTCATTAAAGTAGAAAATTGCTTATGGCATTGGTACACACTTTTGTGTTCTTAGTGTGTTGATTAGTAGGTGCACTTTGCAGTTGTGTTATATATTTTGTCACACTTTGTATTTAATACCAATAGGATTATAGGTAACAGGATGGATCTGTTTTTAGGGGAGCAGAAGGTCACAGTTAACATTAATGTCCTCTAGAAAAACAAAGATAATAGTAATTATAGTAACAGTTGCCCTCATTTGTAGAATGGTTGCTATGGGTAAGTTGGTGTCATCATGTGCATTCCTAGTCCTTCCGCATGAATCCTTTGAAGTTCTGTGGTTAGCCACATTTTGCATGAGGAAACTTAAGTATGCTGGGTTAAATAACTTGACTAAGGTCAGATTTTTGGTAAGTGGAATTCTGTAATCCTGCTACATTTACAACTAGCACATACTAACTCATTTAAAGCTTTACTAGATTGTGCTTGTATTTTTCTTGAGCTACTTAAAAAATAATTTAGAAAGATAAGTAAACATTGTTTTAGGGAGTGGTTTAGAAAGTCAAGGAGATTTCTTGTACTTGTCAAGGATTTATTGTATGTGTTGCCTGTCCTTCCCTGTGTACTTTTTTTTCTTCTTCTTCTTCAGTTGAAAACAAAACTTTAAAAACGAACTTTTTTGCAAAGGAAGTATGTATCTGATTTTCTGTTTTTGGAATTGTTCTACAGGTTAGGTTAGATCACAATGGAAAATTTTCTAATACAGACACTCAAGGGGCTCAGTCTGAGAATGGACCAGTTTTGGTTGAAGAAGCTGGAAAGAAGTATGTATAACTCTTTAATTAGGCCATTTATTGTTAGCTTAATGTAATAGCGAGCATTAATGTGCTATTAGGTATTGCCACTTTAGTGACTGAGGCTAACTTAAGTGTAGGTAGAAAAGAAATTTTCTTAGATCTTTAAAGAAAAAAAATCGTTTATTCAGGTTCAAGCTAAATTGCAAAATTTAGTTGTTAAATTTTAAATTTAAAAAAAATTACATTATTGCTTGCAGTTTGAAATAATGCTGTCCCTTCCAAAAGATGTGTGGGAACATTAGCTAGAATATAAACCATACAGGGTCAGCCTTGGAGAGCAGGAACCATTTCATTTAGTGCCACTTTGCATATAGTTTGATTGCACCAATGACTGTTTGAGTACTAACTGAAAGGTTGGTGGTTTTAGCGTACTCAGAGATAACCTAGGACAAAGCTGGTCTTCTGCCTGAAAAGAGACCCATTCTTGAAAGCTTTACCAGGAGCAGTATTATTTATCAGTTCTAGTAATAAAGTATTACTTTAGATTATTGAAAATTGCAAGAATACACAAAGGAGAGGAGTACACTATAGAAACTCAGTATGACTAGCAGCTAATAGGATTTGGCAATCTTTTCTCATTTACTCTTCCTAACACCTAATGGGGTCCCCCCCCCCGTTTGTTTTAAAGCTAGGGTGAGCCTGGACTATTTTATAGCAAATCTCAGACTTTATTACATCGTTTCTACCGTAGAAGGTCTCTATCAGAATAAAGACTCTTCCCCCACCCTAACAGAATAATGCTTTCTAATTTATCCAGTCTTCTACTTTAAGGTTTTTGTCATCTTTAGTTTGAAAATAATGTTTTTTATACATAGAATTTTACTTAATTATATTTGAGTTTCTAAATGCTATTTGTACTTAAATTCCAATTTGTTTTTGATATAAGAAAATTAGAAAGCCTTAGTTTCCTGTAAGTTTAAGACTTTTGTATGATACCTGTCTAAATAGGTGTTCTATTAAGAGTAATTTGAAATCATTACAAAGTTTTTTTCCCCTCTCTCTTCTTTTGAAGACACTCAACAAAGAACCTCAAGCCACCTCCCTCAGAAAGCTGGAACACAGTATCAGGGAAAAAGATGAAAAAACTTTCCAACTCTGGACAAAATTTCCATTCTGGTAGGAGCATGTCAAGTTACCATTTCTTGGGGATAGAGGTGAATGTATTTGAGGTTCATAATGGGAATATTATGATATGTATTTGGGTTCTTATCATAGACATGGATTACAGAGGGCCAAAGAATTCAAGCAAGCCAGTAAAAGCCCCATCAGCACTACCTCCTCGACTGCAGCATCCTTCTGGAGTAAGACAGCATGCATTCACTAGTCATTCTTCAGGATCACAGTCTCAGAAATCCTCCAATGAGCACAAAAGTCTTAGGACACCTGCACAGATCATAAGGTAACCTTTAATGCTAGAACAGTGCAAATAAAATTACAAACTTTTTTTGCCACATTACATGCTTATAAATAGTTATTCAGGTTTTTTATAACACTTGTTAACCAAAGTAATTTAGTTGAGTAAGAGACCTTTATTTTTTAATTTGCTTTTCAAAATAAGAAATAATCTCCTAGAATAGTTTTCTGATGGTTTGGAAAATTTTCGTTTTTGGTTGTTATCAAATTCGCTGTGACTCTTGGTGATCTGAAATGTATGACACAATGAAACATTGCCTAGTTATATGTCAGCTTTGTTAGTTATGTTTGAGTCTGTTTTAACTATTGTGTCAATCATTCATTTTTTTCCTGACCCTTAATCAAATTAAGATGTCCTTTTCTAGCAATTAGTCTTTCCTGTTGATATGTCTGGAGTAAGCCATCTAATGTCTTGTTGCCATTCTTGTTTGTTTATAAGGAATATTTTAATTGTATTCAGAGACTAATTTGTTCATTCTTTTGTTAGTTGAAGGCTTAGTTAGTATTCTTGCAAGCACCATAATTAGTATGACTTAGGGCAAGCACACCTTAATGTGACATTTTTACATTTTAATGCTCTGAAGAAGTCTTAGCAAATTGGCCCATTACAGTATGTCAGTATATTGTTGATTTCTTGACTGCTACTTCTTTTTTTTTTTTAAATTTTATTTTAATAATTTTAATGAACATTTACAGAGATTTGGGATTTCTATTCATTCATTGTTGACTTTTCTCCCTGCCCAGCCCTCCCCCCAGTTTGCTCCTCTTTGAAAAAGTAAAAGAAAAATTCTTTCTTTGGTATACAATCCCCCCACACCCATCCCACTGCCCCAGGTACACTCCACTATGCACCGTTGATTCTGGACTCTTGTGATAATTATAATACCCTATCATATATCGCTTTTAAATTATTCTCTCCCTCATCTGTTTCAATGCAGTATGCATATAATTTATCCAGTTTTTCTCAGTCCTACCCCAACATCAGTCCTGTTTTAAAACAGTGGCACCATGCAGTATATGTCCTTTTGTGACTGAGATATTTCACTCAGCATAATGTCCTCCATGGTCACCCATTTTGAAGAATATTGCATGAGTTCCTTGTTTTTCTTTTTTTTGAAAATTTTATTTTATTTTTATTTGGAAAGACATATTGGGGGTATAAGGAGGTGAGGGTTGGGGGCAGAAGGGTGAGGATGGGCAGGGATGCAGTTGTAGAGCTACACAGTTTGGTCGGTGGGGGGAGCAGGTGAAGGAAATGATGAGGATCCAGTGGGGACCAGATGCTACAGAGGAATGACAAGCATTTCCCAATGGTAAACTGTCTTATTGATTTGGGAACTGGATGCTGACTCTCTGGCTTCTTCATGCTGAACAGGGGCGTAGATGTAAAGGGGGGGAAGGTAGGTCGCTTTATCACCTTAATGGTGGTCTTAGGTTAAAGCTGCTTGCCTTCTTGTTCTGTTAGAAGATATTTTCCTGTCATTTGCTCCCCTCTGGACTGCAAAGTGTTTTCCCAGGTGGGTCCAGTGGGGATGGCTGGTTGAACCCAGAGGCTCCATCCTCCTTTGCTTCCTTAGCTGTCAGTTGTATTTCCTTTTGGTCATGGGTGCTGGGTTCAGGGCCAATTCTGGAGTAAAACTCAGTTTAAGGTTTACCTATAGGATAGGGAGCAAATCTAGAGAGAACAAACTTGTGAGTTACAGATAGAAGGGCTTTGAGGGTGTTGCTTTCAGGTTTACTTGGGGAGAGGGTGGCAGAAGGTGGCCTAGATAACATTCTTTGGATACCCTAGGCATTCTTTTTTTTGTCCCCCTTCCCCACCCAGGGTCAGATGGCACAATCTGGGGACTGAGGAGCTCACCCTGAGGGCCGCAATGGCTCGCCCCGAGCCGGGGGCCGAGGGCAGGCCGCCCTGGGCAAAGGGACGTGAAAGCTTGCCCCGAGCCGGGGCTGAGGGTAGCCTGTCCTGAGCAGGGCAACATGCCCAGGAGCTGGCTGGTATACTCCCTCTCCAATTGCCCCTACTCCAGTCTGGTCCCCTCGTCTGACCGAGGACTATGTGGTCAGGGATAGTGTCTCCAATTCCAGCACCACCACTTTTACCCTCCCATAAGTGGTCATACTATATTTTGAAGTAGGTGTCACTGCCCTCCCCCTTTATATATGGTAAATGGAACCTGAGAATTGTGAACAGACTCCCCCCAGGTCTAACCATCTTTTGGCAGACGCATTCAACAGAACAAAATATGTGGTGCATTTAGGATGTTGGTCCTCTTGTGCATGCTGCCACTGTTAATTGTCTTCAGACTCACAGTGACTTTCAGCAATCCATTGTATAGGTAATTGTTGTCTTTGGCCTGTCCAAGGAAACCCAAACCTGCAGATGGCGGGGCACGCATCCCATCTCCCGCCTTTCATGCAGGCGGCCGGTGGGGCGCAGCCCCCACTCCCCCCCGCGGGCACCCAATGGGTGCGCAGCCCCTCTCGCGCGGTTGGCTGGTGGGCGCCCTCTTCCCCCACCGCCGCCATCCTGGCTCCAAGAATTCTCTCCAGAACAAGTCCACCTTGCTGCAGTGTGGTGGCTTCATTGCACCAGTCTTGAGGAGGGCCGGTGCCCAGCATCCATTGGTTCTGGCTGTGGAAGCCTCATGGAGCTGCCGCGGCTGTGCGACACTGGGCTCTGCAGGCCGGGGTTGGGAGCCGTGAGACTCACCCATTCCTCCTTGGGAATCCTTGAATTCCTATTGTTGAGCCTCGATCTTCACTGAGGGCCAGTCATCAACTGTTTAACTGTTCAATTATCAATAAGCCGAAGTCTGTAGAAGGCCATAGTGGCCCTGCTTTAAGTGGTTCGCTGCTCCCTCAGCTCACCACGCTGTCTCTGCCTCCACCGCCATCTTGGATCGAGTTCCTTGTTTTTCAATGCAGCATAGTATTCCATTGTGTGACTATACCACAGCTTCACTATCCATTCCTTTGTTGATGGGCACCTGGGTTGTTTCCAATTTCTTGCTACTGTGAACAAAACTGCAGTAAACATGGGTGTGCATATATCTGCTTGGATGTCAGTTATGGTCTCTTTGGGGTATATTCCCAGTAGTGGAATTGCCGGGTTGAATGGTATCTCTAATTGCAACTTTTAGAGAAAGCGCCATACCGCCTTCCACAGTGGTTGCACCATTTTACACTCCCACCAACGGTGAATAAGGGTTTCCGTTTCTCCACAACCTTGCCAGCATTTGTTGCTTGCTGTTCTGTTAAATTTTGCTATTCTGACTGGGGTGAGATGATATCTCATAGTTGTTCTGATTTACATCTCTTTTAGAGCTAGGGATTTTGAACATTTCTTCATGTGCTTGTTGGCCATCTGAATGTCTTTGGTTAATTGTCTGTTCATATCCTGTGCCCATTTTTCAATTGGATTATTTACCTTTATCTGTTGTGGTGCTCAAGTACGTTCTAAATTCTAGATATAAGTCCCTTATCTGACATGTCATTCCCAAATACTTTTTCCCAGTCTGTGGCTTCCCTTTTTACCCTGTTGGAGAAGTTTTTGGATGTGCTTAGGGATTTGATTCTTAGAAGGTCCCATTCATCTTATTTTTTCTTCTCCTGGGTGTGAGGTTGTTTATTTTTGATCAAGTTGGAATGACACTTAAGCTTTTTCTTAATTTATAATGTTTATAGACTTGTTTGTTGTTAGCTGTTATGTCCTCTTCCTATCGAGTTGGATCTGACCTCCAGTGGGTTTCCAGAGACAGTTAATTGCATAGGAGCAGATTGCCCATCTTTCTCCAATGGAGCACACCTAGTAGATTTAAACTACATGCCTTTGGATTGGGAGAGCAATTCCTTACCCTAAGCCACCAGCATTCCCTGGCCTACTTATTAGGATTTTCATTTTCCTTTAAGGTATAACCTTCATCTAGTTGGCTTCTTCAGAGGGAGACATCCCATGTTAACAGACCACTTATACATTTTTATTTTATTTTTTTTTAAATAGGTAAACTTTCTTGCAGGGGTATGCATATATGTGAAATACAGGTATATTAAACATTTTAATTTTCAAAAGTTTTAATGATAACAAAGTAAAAAATCATTTGTAAGGGCACATTACCTCATCTCTCAAGGTTTCTCACTGCAAACGGAGTCCTGAGGAATAGCCTAGGTAAGACTGCTTAGGGCTTTGTGGTTTTGGCATACATAGCAGATGTAGGCAGGGATGCTCAGTTAACTGTTACTGAAGACAATATGAGTATTAACTAGACTCCATTAGCACTTGATAGGTAAGCTGCTTGCCTCATTCAGGCAAAGTACTTCAGGAAATAAGCTTTATTTGAATATTAACTTTGAAAACAAAGTATAAAAAGCAAAAATAGGATGTTGCAAGACAGAAATGATGCTTGCTTTTTATAACTTTTTCACTTTTTGACAGACTAGAAAAAAATTTTTTTTAACACTAGCGTGCTCATTTATAAATTAAACACTGAATGGCTACTTAAATGCAAATATCGCCTGCTTTTACATCTCTTTGCTTTTGTGAAAGAGATACATCAATTAACCAAAAGAAATCTGAAGAGGATTTTCACATTTACAGAAAAAACTAAGCATCAAAATTAGCATTTAATGGTGATTTTTTTTTTCTGCCTTGGTTTTGATATTTTTTGAAAAAATTAATATTAAAGAAAGTTTACAGAGACTTAGGGTTTCCAGTCATTCATTGTTGCACTTTTCTCCCTACTGATTCCCCCAATTCACTCTTCTCCTTGAGAAGAAAGAAAAACTCTCATTGGTATGCAAGAAGCTACTAAAGCCTGAGCAAAGGGAGTGGTGATGTCAAACTCCTTCTCTAGGAACTCTAGTTACCTTCAGGCTGCCATAGCTTTGAACTGAGTCTATGAACACTATTTTGTGTTAGTGTTAGACTTTGTGTTATTTCATACAGTTTGGTGGGTTATTTTTTGGAGTACATTCAAAAAAATTATGTGAATTTAATGGAAATTGCTTCTTTGCTTTGTAGTTTAACATTTAAAAGGGTTTGTAGGGAAATTCTACTTTTATATAACAGGGGAAACATTTTATTTGCTACAAACTGAAGTTTCTGGTGTTGACTTCAATCTCCTGTGGGTGTTTACACTTCTAGGACCCATGTGAAATATTTTGCTCTTACTAGGATTTTTTTTTCTTTTTCTGTTACTTGCTATATAAAACAGCACTTATGAGCATTGAATGTTGTTCTTGATATATGCCATCAAGTACAGACAGACTTCAGTGGGTTTTTAGAGCCTGTAAACTACGTGAGAAGAGGTTGCTCCTGTTTCCCTGTCCCAGAACGGCTGGTGCAGTCGAAATGTCTGCATTTGGGTTTGTAGTGCAACTCTTTACCCCTGGTTCAACCAGACTCCTTAACATTGAATGAGACGGTGGGTAATAAATACATAGATAGGATGCTTTGGAGAATTTTTGATGTGATTGATTTTACATTGACATCTAGTGCTGCTTGTCTAGTTTCTTTACATTGTTATTGTGTGCCGTCGAGTTCAAACTGTAACTAATAGTTGACCCCACTAGTGGGTTTTCAGAGGCTTTACATTGCATAAGAGAAGATTGCCTATCATCTTACTGCATTGTCATCATTATGAAATGAAAAGTTAATTTTTATAGTATATTAAAACAAATTTAGAAACTGATGTTATTAAGTGCAGTCAAGTGGTCTCTGCCTCAGAGTGACTGTATATGTACAGTAGAATGAAACCCTGCACCGTCTTGCCAGTCTCTGCTATGCTTTGGCCCTTATTACAGTTACTGTCAATCTGGTTCATTGAAAGTATTCCTTTTTTTGACATCTTCTTTAAAATGACTTCTTTGCTCTTTTACGTTTTAAAGAAGTCTCTGGCAGCAGATCTACTCAGTGCAATAATACATTGTGTTTCATTGACTACTGCTCCTTGGTTGTTGATTTATCATGGTTCTCCATTTATCATGTTTTTTTATTGGTTTTAAAGGACTTTTGTATTCTTTATGATGAGTTATAATCCATAATAATTACATAGACTTTGGAGTTTATTAGTAATAGAAACTGGTGTCGATGATCACTAAATATATTAGTTTTTAGCCAGTTAGTGTTTTACCTATTTGTAGTATTTTACATACATATCAGTGTTGATTTTTCCTGGTTATACAATAAAAGAGAACTGGCTCTGTAATGTTGTTTAATACTATAAGAACTTCCATTTGCTAAATATTTCTCAGGTATCCAAAAGTTTTGTTAATATAAGAATTTAGCTTAAACTTGTAAAATATTTATAATGCAAAGTGGATATTTTTAATTGGGTATTCTATATATTTTACCATTTTGTTTTTCCTGACAATTTTTATTTGACAGAAAATCTGATCGTGAGAAAACAGAAGATTTTGATCATACAAGTCGAGAATCTAACTATTTTGGCCTCACCCCTGAAGAACGCAGAGAAAAGCAAGCAATAGAAGAATCTCGTTTACTTTATGAGATTCAGAACAGAGATGAACAAGCTTTCCCAGCCCTTTCTGTATGTATAAAAAAGATTGTAAAAGTCATTGTTTATAAGTATCTTTTAGTTTCTTTTTTGAATCATAATGTGTAAGGATAGACTTAATTTTAAACTGAAAGGATACCTTAAAGATCATACAGTTCTTCTTACTTTTCATATTTTTACAGTATAACATTTGAGATAATGCTGGTTGATAGCAGAGGTGAGGGAAGTAAATTGATTTACTGGCAGTTTGTTTTAAGCTAGCATGTTTATTTTTCCAGGAAAAATAATGTGCAGTAGAGCTATGTTACTCAAAACTCTTTATAGAATCTATAAAAATTTTGAATTTTTTTTTTTCTCTATTAAACATTTGGCCTCAGTATGTACAGTGAGATCTTTCTGAGTGTGTTTAGTGGTGGAAGTGGTAGAGTGAGTACTAGGCTAATATTATATATACAATATACTATGTATAACCCTGTAATTTTATCTTTGCTAAGTTTACCAGGCACTGAGTTGAAATTAATATCCTCTGTTTTCCAGTTTTTTTAAGTTATTTGGAAGAGGAAAAATAGTTCTTATGTAGAGTGAAGGAACTACTCTGACAGTTTAGCACAAGAGAAGCATGCTTAATTTAATCCAGTGACTGAATCTTGTTTTTTTTCTTCTTTGTCCCCGACTCTATTGTGATGTGTGTAAAAATGTACAGAGTGAGTTGATTTTTCTATTCAGCCACTCAAACTAGTTTTATGACATTCATTGAAATACCCACAATGTAGCTGTACTCTGCATATGACCTTTTCAGTATTGGTGAATGGTACCCAGATGGTGGTTCAACAGTGTTAACAAATTGGAATACTATAGGAGGATTCAGTAGATAAAAACTTTAACATCTCTCACATTCACTTCGCTGTTATCTCCAGAACTCCTCAGAGATCTGAGGAACTTTTTTTTAAAAAAAACTGATCTGAAATAGTTGTTCAGCCTAGATTAGTAGTAAGATTTTAGGAATTCGTTTAAGAGGTGCTGAATTTTTTACCTGAATTAAATTGTGTGCTGAGTACATTTATCTTTTATGTATGTATATTATTTCATTTTTGTGTATATGTATAAAAACTAGAAATCATTTCAATTGTGCTGATAACTTTTTGTCATTTGAGTTAGAGAAAAACTCATCTAAAATTACAACTGATTTTGAGACAAAAAAATTTATTTTTTCACCAGATGCTCTGCCGGGGAAGGAGGGACAATCTCCTCCTGTACCAGTCAGATCTGATTTGACGGTACACTCACACAAAAATAATAAAATTAAAAAAAAATTTTTTTTTAAATAGAGCCTTCAACTCATAATTTTTAGAATAAGTTGTGATCCTGTCCTGTAGAGCTTGTGATTGACACAAGTTTGTTTTCTGTCACAGAAAGTTGTAAGAAACATTTTTCCATAGAGGTCTGGAGGAAGAAGAATCCTTAATGATTATTTAGTTTAAAAACCCAACTGACTATTTTAGCTTCTTTCAGAAATGGAAAAGCTAGATCTTGTGCAGAGTTTAAAAGCCTTCTATTAGTGACTCTTGGTGTGTTGTTTCTGCTAATAATACAAAAAAAATAATATGCAAAAAATTTTAGTAGGTGGAAATTTTAAACATTGATGTTTTGGTAAATATGGCTTCTTGAAATAAGACATTCTCTAGAACTGTCACTACAAATTTAGATGAAATTGCTTTAATACGTTCACTCAGTAATAATTTAACTGCAGAGTGTGTAATTAAATCTAGGCTTTAGCTCCTACTTTTTTAGATTCAGAGGATAAATAAAACAGAGCTATGAATTTTGAGATTTTTAGCCAGATATTAAGAGTAATGTGTATTTCGTATGTTTGTTGGTAAATCTTTAACATAGAATACTGGGCTTATGTTCACTTTAAAGAGCTCTTCAGTCATTCAGTCAGCGCCTCAGGCTAGCAACCCGTGTGTCCAACGAAAGTCATCACATGTTAATGATAGGAAAGGAAACAGACGGAGAATGGATCCTGAAGAACGAAAAGATAAAGGTATACTATTTCATTATGTGAAAGTAAATCCTGGAAATAAATCTTTTACAGGCAATTTATCTGCATTAAGCACCTAATCTGGTGTTACTTATTTGGCTGCTGTGAAGAAACTGTGATTCAGATAAAAGCACATTAGGTATTTCTTTTGAAAATGACTTTTTTTACTGATTGAACCAAATTAAAATAGTGTTTTGTCTTTGTCTTTCATATTTTGTTCTTCTGTGTCCAGACTTAATAATGACTGACTGATGTGGCCTTTTATTTTGATTTGTTAATAGATCCTATCCATGGTCATAATCACTTGGATAAGAAACCTGAACCAACCATGTCAGAGGTAAAAGTTTTCAACATCAGTTGTATCTCTTCCTTTAACATTTTGATAGTATAACAAGAAGATGTTTATACTTTTTACAAATAAGTTTTAGAAAAAGAACATCTGAAAATAGAATTAGGGAAGCATGATGGAGCTTTAGAAGTCATTGATAGTTGATAACACTTTCAGGTATATTATGATACCCTCTGTCTTAATTGTTGGAAGGTAGTTTGAGATTTTTTTTTTAGATTTTTTCAAAAGGAGCTTTTGTGGCATGGTGGTTAGTAACTGCTAGGTGTTTGGTTTGAATCCAGAAAATGGCTCTGCTAGAGAAGAGACTTGATGTGCTCTTGTAAATTTTACAACTTAAGAAACCTTATAGGAAAATTCTACTCAGTGATAGAGGATTGGCTCTAAGTAGGAATAAAAACAATGGCAGACAGCAAGAACATGCTGTTTTGAAGCATTTTTCAAATAAAACCTCAAAAATTTGATAGGGCAGAAATGGGCATGTAAAGTTACCTACCTTTTAAAGGTTAGAGAAAATTGAACAATATGCTCAGTTGTGAGAAATTTAGTCTGGTACAGTTAAGATGAATTATAAAGGCAATTAAAAATTCCCCTGGAATGTGCTCCTTAGGAATTTTACATCTTTTTTTTTTTCTTGCCAAAGAATATCAGTGGTGATAAATGTGCAAGAGTTTCATCGCCATCAAAATCAAAGAAATTAGAGTACCCATCTCCTGTAGAACAAGTAAGTGTGCTGTTGTATTTATCATTACTATGCTCAGGGTTTCTTTTCTCTTAATAGAAGAAGTTAACCCTAGTGGTGTGTGTACAAGTTGAGCACTCCACTGCTAACTAACCGAAAGGCTGGCAGTTCAGAACCAAGATAAAGTTGTGGCAGTGTGCCTTAAAGCCTTATTTAGATTTTTAGAAAACTATGGGGGAATATCTGCTTTGTCCTATAGGAATGCTAAGAGTTGGAACTGACTTGATGCCAGTAGGTTTGGATTTAAGATGGCCAGTATTTATTTAAAAATAAAAACTGAAAACATGAGTGAAAAAAGAAGAATTTATTTTAGTACCATAATTTGGGTGCAGTTAGGATTTTTCTGTAATTGTGTGAGTGAAAAAAGAAGAATTTATTTTAGTACCATAATTTGGGTGCAGTTAGGATTTTTCTGTAATTGTGTGTTGACTATTTCAGAATGTTTTCAGTTTTTATGTGATGTTATCTTTTAAGTCTCATATATCCGTTGAACACCATTGAGTGATAATTTAATGAAGAAAAACTTGAAGCTAAGTTTTTGGTTTTCTAATATAGGAGAAAAAATTTCTTTCATGCCTTTTATTTCATCTTTCTTAATAGCGCATGTAATAGATCTAGTTAGTCTGAGGAACTTCTCAGAATAACTATAAAAAAAAAAGAAGACCCGAGTTTTCATCCCTTATTTGAAAGCATTATGTTTAAAGTATTTTCGTTTTTCTCTGACTCTGCCAGTGATTCCTGTGATTGTGAGAACAAAGGTCTTCAAGCTTTAAGAGCTTATTTGTTGAATAGAATTTTTTGTGACTACTCTTTGAATTTTAAAGACCAGAAAGTTAATTTGTTTAGAAATGATACATATCTAAAAAGTGTGAAACTTTACAGTAAAATTTAATGTTTTAAGCCAAGTAAATTGTTGTCTTTCCCCCCTCTTTTATTTTGAAGAAGCCAGCAGAACATGTGTCTTTGTCAAATCCACCTCCGCTTCTAGTTTCTCCAGAGGTACATCTAACTCCTGTGGTGCCTTCTTTACCAGCCACTGTGCCAGCCTGGCCAAGCGAACCTGCAACTTTTGGACCAACAGGTTAGATGGGAAAAACAAAACAAAATCTGTTGACCAACAAAAGAAAGCCTTCAGTTAGGCATTTTAAGTTCTTCTGAGTGCAGCTGGCCTGAGTACAGTTGGCTGACCTCAGAGCTGGGCTAAGTGTGTGAAAGAAACTTCACACTCTGTGAGAACTGTCTGCTCTGCGTCCTATATGAGAGTGCCAAGTTCATATGTGTGGTACACATTTGAGATGTACCCTCAAATCCCAGGAGTAATTGGTGCATGGACATTGGTTGTTAAGCACTAACTGGCACTGCGTTTTTACTGCTTCTTTCATGGGCTAGCTCTTTATGGCCTCCTCTTGTGTTGGTGTGCATTATGAGTTGTTAACAAAAAGTCTTCTGACTCTACCAGTGGCTTTGTGGGAGAAAGATAAGACTGTCATCTTTAGTAAAGCTTTATAGTTATGGAAACATGATGGAGGGGTTGCTGTTTGGAATTAGTCGACAGGCTTGGGTGGTTCCACACCTTTTTTCTTTTTTTAAAATTACACTTTCAAGCAGGAGTGGCATCCACTTTCTAAATAACATGCCTCCAGAAACTATGAACTTTGATCAACTATTGACATAGTTGTAGAAGGGCTTCAAGGCTTTTGTGTTCATAGGGTCACAATGAGTTGTGCTTGACTCGGAGGCAATCAATAACAAGATTACTATTAGGAGACAATGATTTGTTTTTCCTGGACTTGTTTCATAGTATGGTCTGCAAAATTCTTGCTTGATAATAAAAATAACTTTTAGATTGTTTAAGTATATTTTTATCAGCTGTTTTGGTAATAATGATGTTCTTTAACTTGATGAAAATACACTTTAAGAGGAGAATTACTTTTTTAATTTTTGGTATTTTTTTTATTCCTTTTCTTTTCTAGGTGTTCCTGCTCAAATTCCTGTTTTGTCAGTGACACAGACTTTGACCACTGGACATGATTCTGTTGTGTCACAAGCTCAGTTAACACCCTCTCCAGTCCCTGTGTCAATACAGGCAGTTAACCAGCCCTTAATGCCTTTGCCTCAGACATTGGGCATTTACCAGGACCCACTCTATCCTGGTTTTCCTTGTAATGAAAAGGGAGATCGAGCCATTGCACCACCTTATTCACTGTGTCACACTGGGGAGGACTTGCCTAAAGGTGAGATCTTTGTTCATGTGTGAATTTAATTCAAGTATAATCAGGTACAATGTGAAATGAAGAGATGAAAGTTGATGTTTAAGATTGCTCAGTAAACTGAAGTAAGCATAGCAGAAATCTGTTAGTCATTTACCCTAGAGCAGTTCATTGACAAGATACTGTCAGAATTTCAAGATGGATTCAGAAGAGGAGGTAGCAAGAGCGATATCCTTGCTGTTGTTTGATTGATCTTGGCTGACAATATCAGAAATATAGAGTTGTGTTTTATTTACTGTGTGGATCTTAGTAAACTATTGATAACCTTGAGAAGAATGGAAATTTCTGAACACACTGAGTGTTTGCATGTGAAACCTGTGTGTTGGCCATGGCCAGTTAATGGCTGACACTCAATAAGGGAATACTACATGAAAGGATGTGCCTCAAGAATGCTTCCTTTTGTGAAAAACAATGTATTCAAGCTTCGTAAATAAACCAGAGTAATATTTAAAAAAAAAATTAAAGAAGAAGCATCCTTTCTCCATACCTTTTCCATCTATTTGCCGAACAAATAATTGTAAAACCTGGACTGTGTGAAAAAGTAGGATTGGAACAACTCATGGACAACCTGGGAATAGGGCTAACCTTACTTATGGAAGATACAGACATGAAGCGCTTATTAGAAGCACAAAGACTATCTTTCAGTATTACTTCCACTTTACCATAAAACAAAATTTTTCATACCTGGACCAGTTTACTGGTCAAAGTGAAGGAGAGATTTATGTTGTCAGTGAAAACTATCATTAACAATAATTTATATTCAGTGGTCAGAAGAAACTATAAAATTTTAGAGTAAAATAAGTTAAAATTTAATAACGTGGGCAGTTTTTAGTAGTAATGAACCTCAGAGTCTGTTATGTAACATGAATTTTATCTTAACCATAAAGGAAACAAAAGTCTTCACAACTGTACCAGTAGAAAACATTGTGATAAATGTAGAAAAGATGGAAATTGTCAAAGATTTAATTTTGCTTGAATCAACTAGTCATCATCGTTAGAGGCAGCAGTCAATAGAGGCAGCAGTCAAGAAATGAAATACAGGTTATTGCATTAGGCACATCTTCTGCGAAGAACTTCCTTAAAAGTGCTGACAAACCAGGATCTGTGCTGGAGCCATCCTGTGGTATTTTCAGTTGCATGTCAAACTTGGGCAGGCAGGAATTGTAGTGGTGGCAGAGATTGTTGGATGTATGAATCAAGAATGTTGGCTATTTAGACTTCCAGAAAGAAGACACAAGCCATCTTGGAACAGTGCAGCTGGACTGCACCTTGGAAGCAAAAATTTAAGAGATATGTTAATTAGTAGGGAACAGTACCTGTAGAAGAAAAGGATATCATGCTTAAAAAAGTAGAGGCTCATTGAAAGAGAAGACAAATGAGATGAATGGACTGTGACATGAGGTTTAAGTACAGCCGTTGTTGTAAAGCTGGCACCGGCCAGAGCAGGGTTTCATTCTGTTGTACATTGGGTCACTGAATCAGAACAAACTCCATGGCAGCAACAATAGTCTCATCCTATTATTCATGAGTTAGATTTATTTGATATCCTGGTTTCCTTACTAGAACATTTTTATAGTAACACTGAAAAATTTGAACATAAAAGTTACTTTCACAAGTATTTACTTATAGTCTGATAAAATTCTCAGTTTCAGCTATTTTAGGGAAGCATTATTGGCCTGGAATTACCATGTAACAGCCTGTCAGTTGTCATGATTTACATGCTGCTAGGATGTTGGAATCTATGCAACTAAACGTTTAAATACCATCATGGTTACTCATTGTAGGTTTCAGTAGGACTTTCAGAGTAGGGTAGATTAAGAACAAAAGTCTGGTGATTTACTTTTAAAAATTAATAAAAGACCTATAGGTCACAGCAGAGTTTTGCCCAAGAAGACAGGACCTCTAAAGTGCAAGACACCCAGAGTACACAAGTAGTGCTAATGATGGATGCAAACCCATCAATGACTAGTAAAGATGGTCCAGGACCAGGCAACATTTTCTGCTGTGTGTGGGGTCAGCTTGAGTCAAAGCTGACTCTGGCAACTAAAAAGAATAAGGAGCTAGTTTCTTCTGTTACAGTTATAATCTACATTTTGTGTGCTAGAGAAAACAATTGCTCTAGGTAAAATAGTGGTTAAAATGTAAGACACTGTTCTCTTGGGACTTTTTTGTGTTATTAGACTGTAATAGGAAGGAGAGCTTGATGTGTATATAATTTCAGTGATTATTTTTCTTTTCAGATAAGAACATTCTCAGATTCTTCTTCAATCTTGGTGTGAAAGTAAGTATGTTTAAAATTTACTTTTCATGAAATTATTACTATCCTATTTAAAAAGCACTCCTTAACTTAAAATGGAATCCTGTTTTTGTGACTTGCTCTAAGTTGAAAGAGACTTTTTTTTTAAAAAAAAGCTTTTATTGTGGCCTTTTATTATTGATATCTTAAAGGTGGATGGTAATTTGTCTTTAGGACTTGGAAACTTGGCATTTAAGTTTAACAGCTTCAGCATTGGCACTTCTTGCTTCTCTTCTTCTAGTCATATACACGTGCTGTATTAGCAAAAATAGTCACTAAAACCAAAAGCCACAGACTGATGTAAGTGTACTTGTTATAGCTTGAGTACTTTGTAAATAAGAAACTACCTGTATGACTATTTGGTCTTTAAAAAATTTCCTGTGTCAATGCTATTTAAACATTAACTTTCCTTTGTCAGTAACAAGGTTTACTGAATCTCATCAATTTAAGAATCAGCATTTTGTGCTTTTTTTTTCTCTGCAGTTTTTGTTTTCTGTTCCTCTTAAAGGCAGTGAGTTAATTCTGTCAGCAGATTTAAGAAATAGTCAAGTCTGTGGTAGAAGTACCATCACTGGGAAATTCGAGATTTCAATTTGAACTTCTCCTTCGTTACTTTTTAAGAATTTAGCCATCGACAACTATTAAGTATGTCTGAGCCAAGATTATTCATGGAATAATGATTCTTGGAAGAAGAAGAATAATATTCTTCCTGCCTCAGTTATAAAAGGGCCAATGCCTGCTCTTTAGCAGGGAATCAGTGTCCTTCAGGAAGTGGTCAACTTAGGAAAACCTTGTTTTTGAATGAAAGGTTAGGGAATTGTGGATCTTTGTTTTTGCTGGACTGTTTCCTGCCCTGAATTAGGCAGACTGCTTAATAGGAAGTAAATGCCCTATTGTCTACCGGCATTTTTATTTACAATGCTCAGACAACTCTTAGAATTGAATCCTAATGTTGAATATAGTGAACTGTTAAACTGGTGGAACAGATCCACAGGTAGAACAGCCCCTGTGCTAGTTCTTGGACTAGATTCACAGAATGAGTTCATGGCAGAGCCAGAACTTGAATGTAGGTCTGTTTAAACAACCAGTGTAAAGGCCTTCGAAGATAAAGGCTAACCTATCAAATGATAGTTGGTTTTGAGATTTTATAGTCTGAAATTATTTCCACAGGATGAAAATAGTAATTATAACAGTCTGAATTGCATAGTTAAATTGCCTTATACCAATTTTTTTTTTTAAGAAAACATCTTTATTTTAAAAATTTGCTACTACCCAAGTACTTACACTTGTCATCAGTTGCTAGGTTATGTATAGATGGTAAAAATCATTAGATAATCTTTTAACTCAACTATGAAAGATGCATTCAGAGGTCCCAAATTGACTCTCAGTCCTTCCCAAAAGGCAATAGAGATTCCTCATTAGTTCTTAATCTAAACCCTTTGGAGTTGACATTATCACCAACTAGAAAATGCAGATGATGAGTTTCTTGAAAAGCCCTTTTATCAATTTCTGTAACAGAAATTTGGGTCATTTTCAAGACGGGAACAGAGGAACAAGGAACAGAGTCTTAAAGCAGTGACATAGTTTTGTACTACTGTTTTATTAAGCTACTTTTAACAGTCTAGCAGTTGGGCAGCAGATTATATAGCAAATGTGACAGCATGAGAAACTTAACTTTGAGCCCTGCAGCTTTACATAGGAGCCCATGTTTTCCCCTCACCCCCTTTGCTTACATGTTGTTTTGTTTCCTCTTTAGGCATATAGTTGTCCGATGTGGGCTCCACATTCTTACCTGTATCCTTTGCACCAAGCCTACCTGGCAGTCTGCAGGATGTACCCAAAGGTCCCTTTTCCTGTTTATCCTAATAGTCACTGGTTCCAAGAAGCTCCTACTCAGAATGAAGGTGATTGTACCTGTGCAGATGCACACTTTCCTATGCAGCCTGAGACCAGTGTTAATGGTCAGATGCCACCAGCAGAGATTGGAACACCAACATTTTCGTCACCTCTGGTTATTCCTCCATCTCAGGTGTCTGAAAGCCAAGGAGAGTTGTCTTACCAGCCTGATCTGGATTCTGAGAACCCTGGTCAACTTATTCATGCTGAATATGAAGAGTCACTGAGTGGCAAGACTATGTTCCCACAGCCGTCCTTTGGACCTAACCCATTCTTAGGCCCAGTTCCCATTGCACCTCCTTTCTTTCCTCATGTTTGGTATGGGTACCCCCCATTTCAGGGATATGTGGAAAATCCAGTAATGAGACAGAATATTGTCCTGCCTTCTGATGAGAAAGAATTGGATTTGCCCCTGGAAAGTCTGGACCTGTCTAAAGAGAGTGATTCAGTGTCAGTGAATGCGTTTCAGGAGGCTGGGGATGAAGTTGCACCTCCTCTCCCAGAAGCAGCTATGACCACTAAGCATGAAGGCCGAGTGGAGCAGTCCTCCCAGACACCAAAGGCAGACCTGGCTTTGGCTTCCACTCCTCCAGTATCAGAGGGAAAGGCTCATCTTCCAACTCATATTTTAAATAGAGAGAGAGGAACCATTGTTGAACCTGAACCTAAAAGGACCATTCCAAGTTTGAAAGAAAAAACAGAAAAAGTGAAAGATCCTAAGACTAGTCCTGATGTGGTTAGCCCTGGGGCCAACTCAGTGGACAACAGAGTGCAAAGACCAAAAGAAGAGAGTTCAGAAGATGAAAATGAAGTGTCTAATATTTTAAGAAGTGGCAGATCCAAGCAGTTCTATAATCAAACTTTTGGAGGCAGGAAATTCAAAAATGATTGGGGCTATTCAGGTAGAGGAGGGTATCAACAAGCAAGAGGGGAAGAATCCTGGAAAGGGCAGCCCAGCAGAAACCGGGATGAAGGTTACCAGTACCATCGTAATGCCAGAGGACGACCCTTCAGGGGAGATAGGAGGAGGTCAGGGATGGGAGATGGCCATCGGGGACAGCACACTTGATAATTGTTACGTGAGTGTTGTAGAGCAGACACCTTGAGGGGGGAATGTTTTTGGAGGCGTTTAACAACATATTAAAATAAAATCCAGATTGAAACTATCTCCTCCTCTCCCCCTTGACCTTCACTCCCCTCCTGGACAAGAAATTTTGGACATAAATTAGAAGGGCAGATGAATTCCTGGTATTGCCATTTTTCTTCACTCAGAATGTGTTTATCGGGTAACTGCCCCCATAAAAAGTAGGAAATAAGTTTGTTAAAGTATTTTTTATAAACAGCTTAATATAAAACATAGATTTAGTGTTTGGTTTTTTCCTTGTATAATATGTTTGACTTCAAATGTTGGAAAAGTGTGTTTTATATAGTGTTTATTAAAGTGACAAGAAATGTACCATTTGACACACTATAGATTCCAAAACATAACATTGCACCAAATAGAAATGTCTATTTTATTATTCAATGCCTTAGTCATAAACTGGGCTCAAACAATTCTCAGCCTAAAATACTGTTGTCTTCTGAAATGCTTCCAACCCAAAGGCCTTTCATCTCAATATCTGTCAAACTTGAATAATGTCTTCTCTTTAATATTACACATAAGGCAGCCTATTATTCTGTGTATTAGAAATGTATATAGTTCTTTTAATATTCATAGGGTATATTTTTGAATTTTGGTGAGTTTTTGTTGAACTTGGAATTGCAGATAAGAATAGAGTTTTGAGAAATAATAGAAAATCCAATGAAATAGGCTGTTCCCACCAAGAATTCTTAGCACTGGTGTAAATATCATGGTGCCTACTCGAAAGTTAAATGTAGATGCTATGCATTTTGAAAATAACCTGCATCTATTAAAGCTGCAGAAATTTTTTAATGCCACTTTAACACTAATGCACTGACAGATTCTAAATATTTTGTGAGAAGAAATGTTAAGAATTTTTAGTTTGACAGGTTTCTCAAGGGTTGCTGTGTTTTTGTTTTCCTCCTTGCACCATTGGTTATGTGTCTCACTTTACATCTGCATGTTCAACTTGTCACACCTGGAACCTTAGTACAGAAGTGAAATGATTGTGACTTCTAGGATTTTTTTTTCTAGAGGATGCTGCTAGAACATGGTATTGCTTTGTGTTTTGTAGCTTGTTACCCTTAGGTAACACGTTTCAGATCCTGCTTCATTTTTCCAATCTTAGCAGTATTCCTAGTGGTTCTTTTTTGCATGTTGCACTCTTTTTATTAGAGATTTGGCGCTGAATTAACATAATATTTGTTTTGTCTATGTTATTTTGTAAAAGTTACTGTAGCTTACATTAATTATGTGTATATATCAATGTGAAAAACTATTCCTTTTTTATGTTAAGAGATTAACTTTTGATCAGGAAGCTTGAAGTGCTATGCAAATAACAATAGTAATTTATCTTTGCATGCTTGTATAATACACCAAGCCAAAATAGATGCGATGGCTTTCTTTTCTTCCTTTTTAAAGCAGATTACTTTAAAAACATAATCCACTTGAATTTGACAAATGAAGCAGATGAGTTTTCTGGGTTCTCTGATAACCTGCAGGAATGTTTAGAGGCCAGCCTGGCTCAGTGAATCTCCACTGTACTGTAATAATGGTTATTTACCTCTGTGTTGTATTACTTACTTAATGTCTGTGTAACTGCTGATTTGAGTAGTGATTAGCATTTAGTATTATAGAATTTTAGAGTGCACTTTGAAAGATAACTTTATTATGATGGTGCTAGGTAATATTTTGTAGACTGGATGATTGCTGGAAAGAAAATTTCTTAAGAGAACCTGTTTTGTAAGGAATTGCTGTTGTCACCTTGTAAGTTCTTGAACAGTTGTTGAAGGTACTGCTTATGTCTTTTTTTTCTAGTTAACATCAATGGTTGAATGATGGAATTAAAATAAGTGAGATTAGGGTATTCTTCACTTTACTCATGCTTTATATAAGTAGGAATAGCTTACATGATAATTTTAATGAAAATTACATTTGGGTATAAATACTAGATCTAAAAGTAATCTCAGGAGTCCAAAAAAAAAAAAAATAGTTTCCAGTATCCTTCATTTTATTGACTGGGATTTGTTCCTAGTTCCTGGAAATGTTAAAAAAATTAAATGGGACAGAATACTGTTCATTTTTTTCATTGTCATGCTCTTACCTCAAATTGAATAACAATATTGTCTAGTTCCTAAATGAAACACTGATTTGATTCTTAATTCCTCAAGGACATAACGTAAACTGCTGAAAGAGAATTTTAGCAGTTGGTACTTTACTTGGTGTCCTCTGGAATAAGAACCTCTTGAGTTTTGATAGTAAGTTTGCATGAAGGTCTTTTATTTTTTCATTTTGGTTCATTTTTGTAATATATTAGTCCAGAGGATTAAGACAAGTGGACGTTTGTCCTTCATTTTTAACTGATCAGAGCAATACTGTATGTTAACTTAATATCTACAATTTTTATATAGAAGAAGGAAAAACAAAATTAGCAAATCATTTGTAGTTTTAGTTGGAAATTTTTGAGCTTCAGTAGTTAATCATACACATTTTGCAAAACAAATATTTAGACTGACCAAAGCTCACATGTTACTTGTTTTAGGTAGATCCTTTTGCAGAACTTGATTCCTGCCCCTTTCTTAAGTATTATATATCTTTCTCTCTTCCTCGAGTTCCTTTTTTGAGAAACCTACAATTTGTGTCCGTATTGCTCCTTAGTGACAGGATACTGCATTTGTAGTCTTTGTGCTGTTTCCTGGTAACCCATATTCTCATGCGCATGGCAGACCTAACCTCAGGCTTTGCCTTGACCTGGCAGGAATAAGTTCCCCCAAACCACTGTGTTGATACCGTTTATTTTGATATAAACTCTGTGTGTATTCTTGCAATGTGTTGTTTCCTTTGTGACATAAGGTTGAATTAAAATGCCTGTGAACTGCAAACTTGGTTGATTGACTTGGTGCAATAAAGTTCCTTTCTAACCTTTTCTGGTTTAGAAAATATTCAGCCATCTTAGAAACTAGCAATATTTATTTTTTGCCTCATTTGCTTTACCTACAGTCTTTGATGAGGTAAACTTTTTTTGCCTTTCACTATGGGTACTAAGCAAGGTCCATTCTAGTGTAGCTGAAGAGGATGCACATTTGGCTACACTTCTCTGTTTACTGTATTTCCCCCCCTATTTTATTCCTACATGCTCTTGTGTTTTTGTTCAAAATCTTAATAATGGCTCAGTTCCAGTATGTCAGTTTCAGAGAACAATGATTTTATTGCTAGTGTCATTTATTTTACCCTCCCACTAATTAGGATTTTTTTTTTAAGAGACTGTCCTTTTTTCCCCTAAAGTACACATTTTGGGAAATCCTTGAAGAGGGGTGGGTGCATGTCTTAATGCTGAGAAACAGCAACTTTGGGGTTGAATTTACTTGAATGGATTAAAAATTTGTATTGTTACAGAGTTAGAAAAAAATTTTATGTATGAAAAATGATAATAGCATTACACTGAGTACAAATAATACTTAAAAGCATGTGAAGATGTGATCATTTGTGATGTTACTTGTTGAAAAAAAGTATATATACATATCTTTTGAAGTGTTGAAATAGTACTTTATATATTCTTTATCATATCACTTTTTCTAAGTGTTCAATATATTCCTGTTTATTTTTCTATGTTCTGTTTTGTAGCCTTAAGAAGTGTTTCAAACATATCTGAATGTATAAAATAAGAGTAAATGCCCTACATGGTGTGATGCTGCATTATATATAAAACTGTGTGCATACATTAAATTTTGTCTCTTGATTGTGCTTGTTCAGTGTATGGCGTTCTGGGGTTAATAGATACTAGCGAATTGGCCAGGATAGTTGGTGCGGGCTACCTGAGGACAGGAGGGAACAATGAAATGAAGGAGGAAAGGCAAAGTATAATGTACTAAAGCTTTATTGAACTGCTTTTAGGGCTAAGGCTGGGTAATTATGAAGAGGAATTAAATAACAGCTCTCCTTCCTTAGTCATTGTTCAGCTTTCAGATGCAAGCAATTGAGGAGACCATGCACCTTCATTTTTTGTTAACTGATACTAGTACTCTTCAGTACTCCTGCAAATTGCCTTAGCCCTTCTCCCAATTGGTATGGGTTTGAACCATCAACCTTTTAGTTAACATCCTGATATTTACTGGATTGTGAGAGCTCCTTTGACACACTAGTTTTTCTTGGTTTGGAACTAACAACCTTAAAATGGTACATAAGATGAACTGTGACTGAGGAGGGAAATACTACTTGGGTGTGCTTTATTTACCTTCTAAATTATGAATAAGAGCATTTAAAAATAAGATTTTAGAAGGCACTTTATTACTGCCATTTATTCCTCTTCCACCATCAGTTTTATGTGATGAAATGGATGCCAGATGATAATGTATGTACTTACAAGTTGCAACCAACCCATAGGATACTTACTCTCCAGTGGACTGGGAGTATATGGTCCATTTTTCTCCTGCAGGGGTGAATTCGAGCCACATGCCTTTGGGTTGGCAGCACAGCTCTTTACTAGTAGGCCACCAGAGTTGTTAGGGGTGGCAAAGAAACTAGCTATGTAGAATTGAAAATCTTCAAAGTTAATAGCTGAGATGTGAAATTTGGGACTAGACTATAATCCAGAGATGGAGACAGATATAAATTGTCTTCTGTTGGAAGCCCCCTTAACTCTGCACGATAGTTAATTGCTTGGCCTAGGTACAGGTTTTGTATGAGCATGATTAAGTGTTCTGGGTTTCCCATTATCAAAGATAACTAGAATTATGATTCACATAAATGCCTTTGCATGTTAAATGCCGTCGAGTCGTAGGTGACTCATAGCAACCCTGTGAATTAAAGTCCTCAACACTTGTGTGACTTTCACCCTTTCTCCAGGTTCATAGGGTTTCTGGAGGCAAGCTGTTTACGGAAGTGGATGCCACTCCTGCTTCCAGGCTTGTTTTAATCAGGGAGCGCCACCATTACCCACCATGGGTGACCATTAACGCATTTGACACATCAGTGTCACAGTGTTGAGCTTCACAACCACAAGTTACTGCTGTACACACCAGTGGACACACCAGGGCTATATGACCTAGAAGAATGTTTGAACAAAAAGATAAGGCTTGAGGGCCATGAATTGAAATTGAAAGTTACCCACCTTGGGCTTGGTAGCATCACTTTCTGTCCACTGGGCCAACTGTTCACTGTCTATGTTGATGTTATTGTTGTAAAGTGCTGTTGAGTCACAGGTGACTGAAAGTCCTCAATACTTGTGGGACTTTCATCCTCTTTCCAGGTTCACAGGGTTTCCGGAGGCAAACTGTTACCGAAGTGGATGCCTTTGCATAGTCAGTAAAATATAGATGTTCTGGTATTAACGTTCAGCAGAAACCTTTTGACACCTCATCTGTCATTACAGTGGACCCTTTGAGGCAGCAGGTCTTAGTGTTGCCAGTGGAATGAGCATCTTCCAGCACTATTAATTATAGCAGCAGAGCTCCATTCAGACAGCAAGGGGGCACTACATGGTATGCATCAGGGTTATACCTTCTTAACATAGCCAGTCTGTATGCTGAGCAAATTATTTATGAGATGATGAAGAATGTGGCACCAGGGTTGGAAGACTCATCAGTAACCTTTATGCATAGACACAACCTTGCCAGAAAGGGAGGACTTTGTAACATCTGCTGCAGATGATGAAACACTTCAGCCTTTAATATGGATTGTTACCTCAATATGAAAATTCTCACGACTGGACTGATTAGCTACTGATCATCAATAATGATATTAAGACAAATCAAGCTAAATGACTTAATTGAACCCACAATCAGTACTTGGTACTAGCAGATCAGAGTATGAGACTTGTTACGTCTGCAATCAGGGACAGCTCCAAATTACTGAGGAGCAAAAATAGTTTGAGGACTAAGGTGTGTTCAGATCATGGTCTGTCATTTGCTGGATAGTAAGGGTAACAGAAGAAAAACAGATGTGTCTGAACTGGGGGTGGAAGAGTGCTGAATATCCCATAGGGTGTCAAAAGAGCAGACACGTATGTCTTGGAGAATTTGCAACCAGTGTTCTTGGAAGCAAGGATGTCAAAAGCTTTGCCTTGCATGTTTGGGGGTATGCTGCAATGGAAAGGCAACATGTCCTTGGAGGACATCATGCTTGGAAAGCTTGGGCAACGGTGAAGACTTAGGTGGAATGCCATAGTACAGAGCTGGGCTTGACTGTGTCAGATTATGAGGTTGACACAGGATAGGACAGGCTTCAGATTGTTAAAGGCACTTTTAAAGTAGTCAACTTGATGGCACCTAACCACCACCATGGGGAGGGATGGATAGGGATGTCAGTCTCATTAACAGATGGTAGAAAAATTCGTTTCAGCCATGCAAAGGCCAAAGATAAAAAAGTCTGCAAGACGAAACTACATTTTTCATCATGAATTAACGGTTGATTGACAGGCAGATAACCACAAATGTGGCTGCCTGTGAGTGCTGCTTGGCGCACTGGTGGCCTAGTGATAAACTGCTGCAATCCCAAAAGAACAGGGTTCATATCCATGAGCCGCTCTGCAGGACAGGCAATCTCCTGTGCAATTAACTGCCTCTGCATACCTGTTAGGGGGCAGGTATGAGTTAGTTCCTTCTCCACTGCACACAACAGCGTCTGGTACATGGAGCTGTAACATACCTGTCCTACAAAGAGTATCACCCTACTCAAGGGAATAATTTTTATTTCACTTTGGGCACCAGGTTACTGGAAGAAGTCTGTAGAATGTAAGGTTTAAGATCAGGCAGTCCTCAGATGAAAAGGTTTTTCCAAGTTGGTGGTGCACTTTGGTGACCTTGCAGATGCAAATGGATCCTGTATGGGGCAGAGTATGCTTTTGGTGGTAAATAATAAACATACCTAAGAGATTTTCTCTTGGCGGTATCAGGAATACTTTTTAGAATAGCAAAAGTTATTCCAGAAAACCCAAACAGATTTATACTTACTAGTCCAAATTGGGTCACATGGCCAAATAATGCAGAGGACTGTCAATTATGACCATATGGATCTGGGTTCACCAACTATCCAAACTCTTTAGCAAGGATGAAGAAAAAGGGAGTGTTTACCAAACTACACCTCCGATTCACAGCTAAAGCCTCACTGGTAAAAAAATTTACAAGGAAACAGACTCATGAGCAGCTGTCAGCAGGTATACAACAAGTTTAGACTTGCACCTAAGAATTTCAGATTAAAGAAAGTACAAGATCCATTATCTGATCCAAAATTACTCCTCTCCTATACCAGAATGATCACAATACGAAAGGCATTGGGTTAAGGACTCAATGTACAGATAGCCAAATAGAAATTTACAGATAAAATGAGATCGACTAGTGTTCCAGTTTTGATTTGTGGCAAATAGGTTTACTCTTTGAGAGCTGGCCCACTACTATATACAAGACATCATAGTATTGAGAATGAGAAGAAAGCTTTCCAAAATTTATGTTCTAAATATTGGTTTAACTAAATAGTTGTACCATGCTACTTTGTCAGTGAACCACAATGTGACTGACTTGTATTTACATATTTTCTCATTAGAAGTACCTAGAAAGAACCCTTGTTTTAACAAGCATTTTCCTTTCAATATAGGAATACATAAAAAACAGCTTTTATCTTATTTTATTCAATATATTTGAGATAATCATTCACATATTTAATCTACCCTTAAAAATAGGCACTACTTACTTTAGGATAATCCATTTATGTACAAAACAAACCCTTTACATATTCACACTTATGTTAAGTGTACAGGAAAAAAAAGCTATATATTAAACACTGGTAACATCTGGAATAATGTGAAGGGAGATAACTTTTTATTCCATACAGTACTGTATATCTGAAATTTTTTACAACATATATTTATGGATTATTCATAAAAATTTAATTTTTTAAAGGTTTTTAACCCAAGCTCCTGCTGTTTCAAGGAGCCAAAAGAAAGTCTGTTCAAATATTTATATTTTGCTTGTCTCATTAATTTATTTAGTAAACCTTTTTGTTCACTCACAATATATTAATTCCAGTACAGTGCATTAGTTGGAGGTGTAATAAAAACTGGTTTGACTCTACTGTATCTTGGTATTTGAATAACTACACAAATTTGGATAAAATTTTTTTAGAACTCTTGGTATATGCTATTAAAAAAAAAATCAAGTAGATTTAGAAAATAACAGTCCTCTATTTCTAAACTCAAACAATGTATGTGGTACCGAATGGTACTTTCTCAGGACACAGGTTTGTTATGCATCTCAAATTTATTTTGATGCATAATGATCCCATACAGCAGAGAATTGCCACCATTTCCATAATGATCCCATACAGCAGAGAATTGCCACCATTTCCTGGGTTGTAATTTTTACAGGAGCAGATAATCAGATCATTTCTCCCAGAGCCTCAGGTGGGTTTGAACTGATTTTGTTATCAGCAGCAGAACACTTAACTACTGCTCCAAGAGTTTCTCTGTAGATCTGTGGGACTCTCAGGAGTATCTGCTTTAAATGAGAGAAATTGTTCTTTAGAAATGATTTTTCCTAAATCTTGATCGGTGATAACAAGAATGCATGTTTTAAAAGATGGCAGTAATTATTTCTAATATAGAAACTTATTGAGAAAGGTGAAGAAGCTGAGTAATTCAAAGTAAATTTGTCAGGCTGTTCTGTCACCCCACTTCTGGGGAGTGGCAGAGATGTGCTGAAATGATTTTTGATAAATGGTTCAAAGTCAACAAAAATATTAGAAAAAATGATTCAATTGGTAACACCCCCCCATTTTCCAACAATGGTGTTGGAAATATTATTTATGTTATTTATCAAATTTCCTTCAACTTTTAAAATAAGAGTAGTTTTATTATTTTGGTATCCTTTCACTATATTGCTATACAATTTAAGCATAGAAAGCATCCTAAACATTTTTTAAATGGGTAAATACTGGTTCATTACGTTGGACATGTATATATATATAATGTATATATATATATAATACAACTGTTAAAAATATTTCCACACATCATGAAAACTTGGAGGTAATTTGTATTATCTGAAATGTCTTCATTTTTGAGTAATATGAAAAAAGGGTTTTGTTACTAAGAACAGAATGTGGCATTTTCTGTGGTCTGAAAATGTGTTCAAAATACAAAATTGGCTTTTAATGTTGTTACATTAAAGCTTCAGGTATGTGGGGCATGAAACCTGATCAAAGCTTTATACAACAAAAATCCCAATGTTTCCTTAAATGGCTTATAACCATCTTCAATTTTGTTTAATCATCCAAGAAAAAGTAGTTCCCAGTCTTCTTTTGTTCTACATCCT